CAGGCTCTCAGAATGTTCAACAATTTTGTCCAGCTCTGTACAGCATGCACTATTTCTAGCTTAGAAACGTTTCTGCGGAGGCTTTTCATAAAAATTGGCCAACCCTTCAGCAAATCCTTCAAACTTTGAAATAAAGGAAAGTGGTCTGAGCTAACGAATGTACTGTCACAGCAACTTAAGTTTACTTGCACACATGAACCCACACAAGATCCAATTCATAATCATCAATAAAAACCAATGCGCTCTGCTCAGAAGAGATCTGTCACCGGAATATCTGAAAGCAAAACCAGTGTAAACACAATAATGTATGTATCTGAAACAGATCTAATAGCACCAAACCAAGTTGCTAACAAATATGAAGAAGAGAAAGAGTTCAAGTGCAATAGTGTGACTAAAAATAAAAGCACTTGTTGGGGTTTACCAGATCACTCTTTTATGAAAGAATGGCTTTACTCATTGTCTCACCCACATAAGTTGCTAATAAACACTTTGAAAAGCACGAATGGTGACTTCATTTTATTCATTAGCACGTAGTCCTTCATGAATTACCTGGTCAGACTACTTGTTTTGCTAGACTGCAGAGTTATATGGCCTGCAATTTCTCTGAGTATGTAAAGACTTGAAAAAATCTCAACAATGAAGTGTTACAATACAAAAAAAAAAAACTTTAGTCAATGTACAGATTTCTTATCTGGCAATGTCTAAGATCAAAGGATTACAAAGGATTTTTTACAAAAACAGATCCTCAGATGTTCTTATTCTGAACCTAACAGCCTAAGGTACAGAACCTTAAAAGTACAAACTGACAATTATATTGCCTGCTTGTTGTCAGGGACACATCAGACAAAGTATTATGCGATCATGTCAAGCAGTACATTCCTAATAACCGAAATAAGCGCTATAAATAACCTGCCGCAAAATGCCTCAGTAAATTTCTTAGTTCCCTCAGGGTCAATGCAACGAAAGTATTGAAGGAATAAATAAGAAGAATAAAGAATGCAAAGAGTGCTATAGTAGGTGACAGGCAAAGAGCAAAGTGGAAGCTCCATCCTACCTCTTTCCATTTCAGCAGAGCGAACACTGGAAAGGAGCTCGCCTCCTCTCCAGCATTTGCTCTGCCGAAAGGGAGAGAGGTGGGAGGAGCTTCCACTTTGTTCTTTGCCTGTCACCGACTATCGTCTCTCAACCTTTTTACAGGATAAAGAACCATGAAGAGCGCAGAAGGGATGAAATTGGATTCAAAAGAAAGTATGAAACTCCCTTTACGAAAGTCACTGAAACAGGTATTAGTCTGCAATTTCCACTTTACGACTCACTGGATCTATAACGGAATGACACGCACCCGCCACACCGCGCAACACCGTTAGCATGAATGCGTAGTTGCACCTTCCTTCGATTAACCTTGTGTGACTTTAGAAGTCCTGATGAAACTAACCTTCTTACGGTCTAACCACCCAGACAGCACATTACCACACACCCGTCTCGGTGCTGAGCTTCGTTACGGAAATGCCAAAAGCTGCCGATTCCACACTCGAGCGAAGGGCGTTACTGCGCCGACTTGATTCACCCTTCCACTGAAGGCATGTTGAAGGATTCTTAGTGCGAGCTCATAGCTAGAGTGTGCCTTTGCGAGGGAAGATCTTGTTCGGTGGAAACGCTCCTTAATGTCGTAGGCTCAGGACTGGTACACACATTTGCTTTTGATTGTGATCGACCATGACACAACAGGTGGTTCTCATTTGAACCCGTTCGCATTTCTACCTTCTCGTTTTCACCTTCTCATTCCAACCCTGCGCAAAACAACTTTCGCTTTTCTCCCTCTCTCACTTAAATCGTTCTCAAAACGAACTTTTGCGTTTTGACCATTCTCAAACCGACTTTTCTTCTCATTTTAAACTTTGTCATTTCAAACTTACTAAAAACATACTTTCTGTTTTTAATCATTCTCAAAACTATGTTTCTCATTTTAGCCTAGTACATGATCAGGCTAGGGAAAAGCAATAATTTCAGCATGCACTCACGGGAAACCGAAATAAAGAAACCAATGAAATTATAAAGTCCAGGCACCTGAAGCTTTATTACGCCTTGAAATGCTACTTGGAGAACGACATCCAGAGTGCATCCACGGCACGGCGGACGACACGTAGGCAAATTGATCGTAGATCTGTACGATCACTCCGACACGGGTTGTAAATAATTCAATATCCTCAGAGGGCATGCCAGATGAGCATAATTTGCATCCAATGATTCACGACTGAAATTAAGAAAAAAATTTGAGCCTGGTAGGAAAGCCCTCAAGCCACACATCATTGCACCCGCACATCTAAAAAAAAAAAAGTTGCAGGGCCAGTTTGCCATTGGCAGGACCTCCCTTTGTGACTTCCTAAGGAGGGCGAAGGCATTCTCTGGCCTTTGAATGGTCCGTGTTTTGTTGCTGCAGTCAGCTTAGATAGTTTAACCAATTACCATCTTGTAGGAACAAAGCTCCAGAATAAAGCTTTACCGAGCATGGGACCGCACTGAGGTGCGATGACTGATTCTGCGGCAAAAAACGTTTTGTACTATGCATCTCGAGAAGAGCCATTCAGTAGCCTAGCGATTAGCCATACGATTTGAATGACATAATGCTTTGCGAATCGTTCGTAACGTGACGGTATGGAAAATAAAATATTCCTGTGAACATATTTCGAATGCACTGTATCCTATACAAAAGGGTTAAAGTGATTCATGCGGGGGTGGACACAGAATCGTCGGCCGCTCCCTGCTGGTGGTGCTCTTGAGTGGTGGCGGCGGCGCTTTGTGAGCGACAAGGTGCACAGTAGGGCGAGAGACACGCCGCAACAGCTGCTTTGTGATGCTGTCGGTGCGGGCGGTAAGCGATCGCCAGTTAGCCTTGGTGTGGAACATGACACTAAATGTTTGCATCGGTGCATACTGGCACAGGTAGTCCACGAAAATGGATCGACGAACATGTTAGAATTGTAACAATATGGACAATGGCAACTTTGGCGGGATTTTCGTTTGTTTGTGTGCTTGTTTGGTTTTACACCTGGTTATTTTTTAAATAAAATAACAATTGCTATGGAGTAGCCGGCACTGTTATGACCAGTGCCAACATCTCCGTTATTTTTATTAATTTATTTTTAACACAGAAAAAGAGAGACTGCTTGAAATTACAAGCGCACTCTAAAAAGGTCGAAACGCCCTGTACGTGTTTTGAGACGGAGTTTAATTAAACAATAAAGATTTAAGTATGAGCGGGCTCAACTGAGAAGAGCATAAATAAGAAAAGGTTAAAGTGCAAAGAGCGTTAGGCGATTGGTTTGAAATACGGTGTTCAAATGAGAACAGGTTCAAATGAGACGGGTCCAAATGAGAAAGGGCCGAAACGCGATAGGTTAACACGCGAAGGGCATTTTGGGAGTGCGTTCAAACGAAAAAGGTTCAAATCAGAATGGGTTCAAATGAAATGGGTATAAATGAGAAAGGGTTGAAATGCAAAAGGTTAAAACACGGAAGGCGTTTTACGAATGGGCTTAAACGAGAAGGGTTCAAATCAGAATGGGTTGTTTACCCCCGCGCTGAGCTCGGCTGTGCAGCCTCCCTGAATTTTGCCCGTGCAGGCTCTGCTCCCTCTTACCAGCGACCGGGCCGCTGCGTGCGCTGCACCGCCATGGAGAAGGCTTCTCTGGTGGTGTTCCTTGGAGCTACGCCATGCGAGAGCCAATGGAAGCCTCGTTCCTTGAAACCATGACGCGCACCAGCCAATGGGAGCCTATCCATCAGATTTCCGCAACAGATGACAGGCTTCGCTCCTTTGGAACAGGGGAAGGTGCCACTTGGCACAGCTTCAAAAGCTGATGACGTCAGTTCCCTCCATGGGACCCCCCCCCCCCCCAGTTAATGCTTTCACATTAAAATGCTACCACCAGCTTGTCAGTGGGCATTCAGCGGGTTGGATGTTTGTCACCTCGTAATTCAGGCACACTTCCTTCAGTAAAAACAGTCGTAACCTTAAAATCGAGAGAATGTACCGGAGTTACCCTTTAAGGTATCAATGTTTATCGAAACAACCCTTGTTTGCAAGTCTTGCCCTGGCACATATTAGTATTGCCAATGGCAAGAGCTGTCAACGCCGAATCTAGCCGAAAAAATATCATTCGATACAAGCGTGTTTTTTTAATCCAGCACGCTAGGATGTTGCTTGATTTTATTTTTGAAGGATAGAAAACACTGCGACATTTTAACTCCATGTTTTGGAGAATTGGGAATCTTACAAAAAGAAACTCTGATTAACCCTGAATTTTTAAATAAAAATTAGCGCCGACAAATACCCTCCGAATATAACGAAAAATTAAATCCGAAACTCGGAATCCTACTTATAACGTTGTCAGAATTATCTCGAGCCCACGGCCAACAAATAAAGCAAAAAACAATCAAAAGCATTTGAGGGCTATTCGACAGAGGGTGCCAGTTTGATATCTCGTCATGAGTCGCCAAAAAGCGGTCGTCATTAGGGGTGTCGCGAACTTTTGTCGAACCACATTTTTTGGTCGAACTTTCAGGGTTCGCCTGGGTCGAACCGGTTCGACGAACCTTCGAACTTTTCACCAGATTCAACCGGTTCGACTTTGTGGACAGTGTGGCCAGACCTTGATACAAGCATGTCTAGGTTTGGAGAATTTCTTTTTTTATGCAAAGGGTTATTTTATTGTGTGAACAGCTGCAATTAAAAGAAACTAATTCAATTCACTGAAGAAGTTAATAACTTAAATTTTAGTACTGTATTGACTGAAATAGCCAATCAGCGCTGCACTTAATTCATCTCTTAGCCATTACCATCCAATCCGAAGCCAACTGGCCAGCCTATCGCGCATGCGCACACGAGTCGAAGCTCAATACAAGGTTCGACGAACTTTCCACTAAAAGTTCGAAAAAGTCGAACCTGGTCGAACTCGAACCGCGGCCGGTTCGCGACACCCTTAGTCGTCATGCGGTCGATCGCAGCCAAATGCAAACATGCGAACCAGCCTCCGCACTCGCAACCTTCGGCCCAATGTCGGCACAAGGACGACCGAAGCGGGTGTAGCCCTTATAAACCTCTACCGACAACAAACTCTCCAGTCGAAGGAAAAATTGCAGAGAAAACACACGCACCGTTATTGCAGCTGCTACTTTGCACCGGTCCACCAGAAGTCCGCGAGGGTATGTTGTCCGCCGTCCTCCCAAGTCTGTGCCTACTTCTTGTGGTTGGGGTCCACATTGTGCCGTAAATGCATGATCAAGTCCAGGATCTTGACCTTGGCCGTGTCGCGTGCCACCGCATCGAAGGTGCGCAGCGCCGCGGCGACGTACATTCCGAAGTAGTGTTCCTCGTCCGGCGGAGCGCGTGTTGCGTGTGCCGTTGCCGCCGTCGTCTGGTCCTGGTATTTTCTCCGCTTGTGTGGCGGGGTTTGGATCACCTGCTCCGAAATGCTGGATCCGTCCAGCTCCGTTTCGAGCACCTGAGCTGACTCGTCCTGGAAGAAGCGAGTGGGTCATTTTGGGAACGTTAATGCCCGTGTCCCACTAGAGCGACAGACAGAAAAAAAAGACAGCGACAAACCTCAAACCTATGCAGCATGCTTGTGATGGTATCTTTGGCAGGCGTTTAGTCGTTCGGTGCTTGTGGAGTAAGCATGAGCGATTGCAAGTCTGCGAAAGATACCCTCGCATGCATGATGCTCGTGTCTGAGCATAGCCCTCCTTTATTCTACAAAGCCTCTCAAATCGCGAAAGACTCTGGTTTGAGGCTTGTCGCTGTCATTGTTTCTGTCTGTCGCTCTAGTGGGACACAGGCATTAAAGGAGCTGTGCAACAATTTTTGTACTGTGCACAAATACCGCTTAAAATGGATCCCTGACGTTAATGACCTCTGAAACACACATTAGTTTTTCACCCCACGCAATAGAAGTCCCAGAAAAAAATTTAAGAAAAACGAGCAGCGTTCACCCCCTCAACTCGCAGCCAGAACAAGCGGCCACGTGATCTGGAGCCGATTATATGCCGCCATTGTTGATCATAGCCACGCGCTGGGGTTGGCAAAGCGCAGGACACGCGCTGAGTTCCAGACATTGTTATGGCTCGGCTGTTGTCGTCGTTGCAGCGATTGGACACGGGTCACAACCCGAATGCTTCTCGAGCTAGCAATTGTCACGAGCCTAAGTCGTGTGCCCACGCAATGCTCGGGTCCAATCTATGAACCGCATTCAAATATCGTCACTTGGGTGTACTGCGATCCCCGAGTTACGTCATCAACTTTTGCAAAGGAGAGATTGAATGAACATGATAGCTTTTGTCCTTGAAATTACACCGCAACAAAGGAGTTTCTAGGCCAATGGCGTTGCGTGTGAGTATCCTTGAGTCCCAGGTGTGCCAGTAAGCTCGTGTAGAGAGAAAAACATTCCAATTGAATATCGTTGCACAGCTCCTTTAAGAAACGCAGACACCCTCCAAAAAAATTTTTTTTTTTCCTTTGCTAGGCGATTTAATATGGTGTTGGGAGATTACCCAATCAATATTTTGCTGCGAGTCGCATATAATCTGAATAAAGACAAAAAAAAGTCAACTGCTCGAAATCAAAGCACGAGCACAGAATCTCGTGGACAGAAATTACGTAACTACACCCGACAAAATTTCTTCTTTTTCCTCTTTTTTGGTGTGTGAAGAAAAAGACAACGAAGTTGCATGCACCATTTGTCAAGCAATCGTTTCACACTTATATCCCTTCCGCTCAATCTTCTGCAATCGAACATCGATTGGCCGGTATCACGAACGACAGTTCCAAAGTAGCAGCCCCACGTCCATTTCGATGTTGGTCCATCGTGCGCCGCCATCCAGTTGTCCAGCCCGCGGTAAGTCGCCATACTGAGAATGACATGTACATGTGCTTCCTGTGATCTGTGCAACGGGTTTTCTCTATCAACGTATATGAAGCCTCTTACAAGCAAGAAAAAATGGGATTCATATTCTTTCCTCTTTCTAATATTGAATGTGTGTCTTAGATCACCCACGACTTTTAACATATTTGGTACACATAGGTTGAACGCTTATGACCTTGGAAATGAAAGTGAGCGCGGCTGAAACCGGCCAATTCTCGGCTGGCTGTTTTCGAGCGGAAAGAAAATGAATTTGGAGCTGAAAATTATGTTCTGGGTAATTGGGCCCTTATAGACCGTGTTCAAATAAAAACCTCAGCAAGCATAAATACCCTGTCAGTGTCCCTTTACAACAAGCTGACAAGCTTCTCCCCCCCCCAAAGCCCTCTACTCTTTCAACTTTAGCAGAGCAAACACTGGAGAGGTGGAAACTGCCAATCCTGGCAAGCAGAGAGGTTTGTTGGAGAGGCTTGCCCCACTATTCTTAACCTGCAACAGAGCACATGACCAGTGAATAGGACTTGAAATAAGAAAATAAATATTGATTGTTTGCTTGTCACGACACTCGCAATCCCTGAAAACCAGTTCCCATATACAATGCAGCACTAAATCAGCACTAGGAACAGTGCTGATGGAGCACCGACTCGAACGTGACTCGGCAGTGACTTGAATGTAACTTAGCCCCGCAGCAGCTCTGTGTCAGTGCAGTGTCACTAATGAAGCACAAAGTCAGCACTATTTGTAGTACCGACTAATGGCTTCAAGGAAGCAGTGTAGTGTATGTGAACAGGCCTTTTACAAAGCCGCAAAGTACTCACAATGAGGCAGTCCGGTTCGAGGATGCTGCCAGCATCGAGCGCGTACTCGGCGCCAGCCACCGGGACGGTGCCGTCGTAGTGGTTCTCCCCGGCGGCGGCCGCCGCCACCATCTCGAGGGTGCGGGGCAGGTAGCAGACATTGAGGAACTTCATGTCCTCGTAGAAGTCCCACTTGGAGGTGTACGCCTCGTCTCCACTGCTGGCCCCGTCGCAGGCCGCGCCATTGTTGTGCTTCAGCACCTTGTTGTACTCGCGGAAGAAGTATGTCCGGAGGTTGTGGAACTTGTTCTTGCACTCCAGCACTGTTGTAAGCCAGAGGGGACGGTTCACAGATGTGCATTCGAGTGCGATAGAGTGCGCTGTGCTCGCTCGTATTTCCGGATTTCATCGGAGTCTAGATAACTGTCGAGACTCAAGGGTTTGGCTAGGTGGTGTAAGCCGCTGCCTGATTAAGCGCGTTCAGCTGTATCCGTCTATCCAACCGCTTGAAACGGGAGAACACACTGGCACAGAAATGTAGACCAACACACTGTTTACAAACAAGCCAGCATTTTCCCACACCTAGTGTGGGCACTGCACGTTCGGAGAACTATATTCACCCGAGATGAAGCGTCTGCACATGCTTCATAGCAAGCCTGTGTTACAGTGTCCTTCTGCTTGATTAATGTCACGTGGTTTAAGGGCGGTGTTTTCAATACGAGCTGCGATGAGGTGCCGAAAGCGTTGTTTGTCTGCAAATGCCTCCGCCTTCCCGCCTGCTTTTTTCCCTGCCACTTTAAAAAGCAGTGCATACACACTTGTCAAAAATTTCCGCAGAAGGCGTCCGGCATTAAATTGCAGACTTGTCATAGTCCCTCTCTTCAATGTAGGCTCTCTAATAGGAAGTGTCGACAGCAGCGTCAGCTTAGCAGCATCATGTAAAAGCCACCAGTTGGTGTTACTATAATGTACTACAGAATATGTATCATTATTGAGAGGGATCAAGATTATAACGCCAGATATTGACTGTTCTATCCAATCTTGGATGACATGGAAATCTGGCACAATCGTTGCTGCTTTTATCCTAAAACAAAATCAATAAATAGCTCCTCTTTCAACAATCTCAAATGTGCCCGAGACGTCAACTTTTCTTTTAGTCACTTTTCGAGACACTTACTTGAGCAACCAAGCGTATTGCACAGTTCGAGAATCTTCTTGTCCCGAAGCCGCCGCTTTTTGTAGTCTGGATGGATGGGATTGTAGAGGAATTCGTTTCTCTTGAAGAAGTCGATGAGGATCTTCTGCCGCTCGTTGCTCCAGGAGAACTGAAATGTCAAAATGACCGGCATGAAGCAGTGCTATTAGCCGTAAACCGCATCACTAGTTAATAGATACGTTACACAATTGAAGTTGGGAAAACCGACCATAGTCGCACGTTGATCCCAACATTATTTTTTTTTTTTTTCTTTCCCTTAATAGCATGAGGTAAACAGTCGGCGATCAGCTGGGCTTGAGCCCGCTGGTTGCAAGGCGAAGTCTCACCGGTTTGTGCTCCATCGCTACGAACTAGAAGCGTCTTCCGGTCAACTCCAAGATACCCGAGAAACCATGAAGTTGTGATGTGTAGTTTTAACGGCTCTGTTTTAACGTATTTTCGTTCTTCTTCTTTTTATTTTTTTTCCGCCGCGTCGGTAACCGTTTGGTTGGAGTCGTTGGAGTTGGATAACGGACAAAAAAGAAACCAACTTGAGTCGATCTCTACTTTGATGGGACTTTCCACTAGTCCGCCGAGCTTCCGCGCCTGAAACGAGCTAAAAACTTCAAAATCGCGTTCACTAGTAGCCTAATAACTTTTTTTTTCATCCAGTTTTAAATAAATTAAAATTAATAATTTTATATTTTTTTCTTTTTGAGTTTTTGAGTGAAAAAACGAATAGGAACATTCAGGATTGCGAAATCACGACAGTTTCGCACGTCGCGGACACAAGAGATCCCAGAGGGGAGCTGGGGGAGCGTTCGTTTTCAGTTCTGTTGTTTCTGAGCGCTTTATTAGCGAAATGTAAGCCTAACCTCCAGACAGGATGGTACTTTGATCCTCGTTTAACATCGGATCCTTCGTCGACAGGAGCCGCCGAGTTTTTGTAAAGCACCGTAAGTAACCCTTTTCCGACGCACTGACACCCGAAAAGCCAGGACATGGTCGCACAACTTCTCCCAGACCGTAATCCGAGATCGCGCGGACCGCCGCGCTACGATTTGTGCCGTTACTTCGACCACCTGCCCGCATATTTGAACGAGAAAAAAAAAAAAAAAAAACGGAAACAGCAGACAAGTTAATGCCGAAAGGTTGTTGACTAACGTTTACGGCCTTCGTCGATCCGTGTTTTGTTCGTTCGGTTGAGCCCTGTATATGACCCGTGATATGTGAGATTACATTATCGCTCTCGTCAAACTTATCGCTCGTCTAAAATAGATCAGTGGTTTGTAAATAAGGTAGACTATCGAACGTGCAGCGTACTGTTCTCTGGCTCACTTTTCTTTTTTTTTTTTCTCACTAGCTTTGCTATAGCTGTTGCTTGGGGCCTACGGTCGCTGTGTGCGTTGAAAGTCCCGAGAGGTTGTTTTCGTTGGCTGCAGGCTAAAAGTTTGGAAAGGTTCCAAGTTTATCAGCATTCGTTCCAGGTACGGTTGCCCCTCTCCTTTCGTTTGCGATACCCTTTGTGAGAAATTCATTTTTAGGATCGCACGGTAAGGTTCCTTTCGCAAGTTTCCTGGCTTATGCCGAGAACAGTCTGACCTGCTGAATTTCAAACTCAAATACACGGTCGTTGGTTGACTCGTATCTTCGTCCGTCGTTTGCGTGACTCGGCAGATATACTCGAAATACTAAGGCTTTAGCCGTTTGAGCATGCCTTGAGTGAATAGCTTACATATGAGGTCATTTCATCACACTGGCTTCTTCCTCGGAACAGTAGGTCGCGCATTTGTAATGTGTCACTTCAGGAGCCATATGTGTTCAACAACAGTCGTTCGTTGTAACCGGACGTTTTACTGTCGTCTTCACAATGTTGTGTTTCAATCATCACAAGAGAGATGGTGTTGATCTTCCCGGCTCGTATCATGCGGTGATTTTGGTATAATGGAAGAACTGAAGTATGTTGTAGCTTTATGACGTGTCTGAGTATTTTAAGCTTAACTGATCCCACATGGGTAGTCGATGTCAACAGACCCTCTACTGTGAATGCTACTGCAGCACCGGCCTATGGATCCCTAGGTGGCAGGTTCGAATCCCGTCTAAGGTGCCCGCAATCTGACAGAGGCTTATTGCGGAGAAACAACCATGTAACCAAGCTTTTTGTCACACATCATAAAATCCGCAGGCTGTCCAAATTAAACCTCAGTCCTCCCCTGGGGCGTGCCAGACGCCCTTCGTTGGTTTTGCACGTAAAACCCCCAAATTTGACTTCTGTATTGCTATGTTTTATTCATGTTATGCTGTGCCTCTCCACCCACTGCCTTGATTGGGCGAGTTAGTACTATTAAATCAATAGAAATAAAGTAAACCTTGTTTAAAATGCTTTACTGAATGGCAGCCTACGAAGCGCCTAGCTGGGGTGACTGCAGCATACCTGTTATTTTAATGCCTTGTTTCATGGGCGTGATCACAAACGTATTGCCTGTAAACTGTAAATTGGTGCCTGTGGCAGTAAGCAGTCATAGAAGCTTTCATGTTTTTTTTATTTCACACATTCACTGGTTAATCAATCGTTAATTTGTCGTGGCAGATGTCTGAGCCAGGCTCGGACCTGGAGCTGAGCACAGACTCGGATGCAGGCTACGAGGACTACTACAACTACCCAGAGGACGGAGAGATAGACCAGCAAGACCAGCGGAAACTCGACCCGGAGTACTTTGAGTTTGAGTGCCTGACCATCGAAGACGTCGAGCGTCTGCTCAACGAGTCCGTCGAAGTCATCTGTGCCAGCCTGAGTGTAGGTCTCGCCGCTGCTCTTTTGTGTTGTCATTCTGTTTGCACCTGTATACTCATGTCGGCATAAATGTTTTTGTGCTACAATGTCAAGGCTAGCGCAGCTTTCACAGTCCTGCGAGAATCCGTGGCTTCGTCTCGCACCTCTTTTGCACACACTTTCGTGCGAAGGAGATGGCAAGCAATGACACGCATATGCGCAGGTAAAGTTTACAGCTTTGGAGCGGTTTGAAAACTATGCTAGTCTTGATAGTGTACCACAAAGATGTCGCAGATGGTAGGTATCTGTCCGTCAGCCCAGCCACACATTTAAGCTGCCTACCAACAAGAGAAACCCCGAATTGTCGGGGAATTTCAGTCGGCCTTGTAAGTTCTGAGGATTGTTGGGGAATCGGGCTGCAATTCCCTGAAAGTATGCTACGATTTGGGGAAATGCTGCTTTGTTGCACACCTTCTGCGACGCGAGTGTTCAGAAGATCCCAGTCCTGGCTATGAATCCTAAATGCACCCAAAGCCACCTTGGGTGCTTTTAGGGCTGGCTCTTCGTGCGATCAGCCCACAAGGCACCCTATTGGGACGACTGCGGCAAACCCTGTTGTTTTAAGACCTGGTTTGGTTTTTAAAATTGTTCTGTGTGTTCTAAATTGGCGACTGGCTCCAAGCCATCATGGAAGTTTTCTTGTTTCTTTTTTTTATTTTCCCCTCATGTCGGGTCAGCCGGTTCAGAACACTCGTCTCCTAGGCTGAACATTCTTAACTGCACGTTGCCTTCGGCAAATTTTTAACAGTTGTTTTCTAGGGAGTTTTAAATACCTGTGCCTGTCTGTATAGACCTCTGCGAAAAGAGCTCTCTGGCCGCCGCCATTTTGCGAACCGAGCGTCTCCTATCAGCCAGAAATTTCTGCCACCTGCCTGAGCTGTGGAAACCCGGTCAGCGTGACCCCCACCTGTATTGTGCATTCGGAGTTTGTCGGCCTTTCTTTGAAGTTTTTACTTAGTTTGCCTGTTTAGGATGCTTGCCCTTTGTGTGTTATCTTCCCACTGTGAGAACCAGAGAATACCAGGGCTCGTAGCCCGCTTGGCCTTTGAAGGAAACGAACGAAGAGAGCGAACGTCAAGCAACCGGCGACGCGGGCAGTTCGACGTTCTTGGAGGATTATTTACGTTGAGATAATAGGGAGTTTTAGCAGTCCGCGTTCTCCCCTCCGCTAAGCCCTCTGCAACAAAGAAACCGCCACTGCACCTGCGTGCCGATGGCCTTGGCTGTAGAGTTCCGGGTAGCGGAGCGGCTTAGCAGGGGGGGAAGCACGGACTACTAAAACTCCTTGTTCTCCAAAAAGCCTTCCCGGCTTGTGTTCCGGGACTTTGCGAAAAATAGCTGATAGGGTCGGGTCCGGAGTGTGGGGACGGAATAGACACGTGCAAACAACCAGCTTTTTTCTACACGTGCCCCAAAACACGCCGGATTCCATTCGATCGTCGTGAAGTGACTATCGTCGACACTGTATACTGGATATGCTGTGTTATTTGAGACCTTTCTCAAATCCTGTTTGGATAACGCTGCACCATGAGATACATACAATATATGCTGTTCGATTGATGAGACTCTGAATTTCATGTTGTGGGCGGGGAATAACCATGCAGTTCGGATATCCTGTGTGGTCAAATATTTTCTATGGTTAAGACCTTTGTAGATTGACACGGCTGCGTGTATGGTGCCGTAGAAAGATCAACGTAAAATGAAACAAACATTCCAGTTTCATTTGTTCCGTCGCACACGGACTCACCGAAACAGCTTTCATTTCTTTGTTCTTGTTCCCAGAAAGAGTACAATGCATTCTTAGAAACCCCCAAAAATTATATTCACCATAGAACACAAAAGAAAAAATAGAATGTGGCAATTTAGCTTCCACCAGCGACCGGAAGTGTGCCTACACAGTCTGCCACAGCCCACTGACAAGAAACTCCACAGCCCAGCACAGTTGGGCAACACTGACGTACCCTCTCAAAACCAGGGACGCGCGCTGTAAACTGCTTCGTTCGAGACTGCTGCTGGAAAGGTCTATAGGCACTGGATTCAGTTAATTGTTAACTGCAGCTGTGTAACCGTCTTTTTTTTTTGTTTATGTTTTTTCACTGGAAGTCGGGCTGCTCCAGCGTTTCGATGGAACTGCTATGGTTTTATGAGTTCATACTGGTTTTCCTTTTTTTTCTTTTTTTCATAATACCTTTGACAGCTGCAGGTTTCTGAGTTTATTGAGCCTGTAGCTATTTGTCCTGCGAGCTATGATCTGCCTCTTTGTAACAAGCCTTTTTTGCAGCAGTAATTCTCTTAGGAATTCTAAAGTAGGTTGGGTAACACACACCTCACGTTTTCTATGTTTATTTTTTTCTCCTTCAAATTCCCCCTTCCAATCATTTCCTCCCTTCAGGGCAGAGCACCCCTGACACCTCCTTTCTGACCTGCAATCTGGAAGGAGAGAAAGGAAGTTTTTTTCCTTCTGCAAAGCTGCAGGCAATTGAGCCATGCGCAAGGGCTCTCCATTGGGAACCCAATACCATTGCCTCTGTGCAATAGCATAGCCAGGAATTTCTTTTGTTTTTGTGGGGGTAGGGGCTGAGGTGGTTGGGATGTCCATGACTTGGGATGCAGAGAAGGGGGGAGGGGGTGGGTGGAAAGATGCATGTGTATATTATAGGGCCAGATGGGGTTTGGAGGGGGGGGCTGAAGCCCTATAAATCTCCTTCCTGGCTATGCCACTGCCTCTATGTCCATTCTAGTTCAACTTATTGCCCGAACTTCGTACAAAAGGATGCTCTTTCCCCCATTTTGACTTGATGCAAAGAGGGAAAAAGAAACATTTCCAGCCATCCTGAAATGTTTTGCAGAGATCTTTAGTCTTCATTCTCTTCTTGGCCACCCTTCCAAGTCTGAAAGGGCAGGGGGGTGGAGCTAAGGCTGAGTTTAAGTGAATGTGATTGTAGCTCTTCAAATCGAGCAGGGACCAATCACACTTACCCTTTCTCCTTATCTTTACCTCTTCTAACCAATCAAAATAGTCAAAGCTTGATTCTCTGCACTCTGGTTGTAGTCATGTGAATGCAGCCTAAGGGGATCTACTGTGCTAGAGTTTGTATGTTGGCCCACACCATCCTAAAATGAGTGTATTATTCTCGTTCGGAAATCAAAGGTTCTGCGTCCAGGCACCTTGACAAAACCGCCAGTAAGGTAGCAGAGGGAGCCCGTAAACTGGGACATGAAACTTAGGTTGCACTTGCCATTTGAAGGCGATCTAAATGTTGCTTTGTTGGTATTGAACTCGTGGCCCTGTCTAACGTCTTCTTCGCTGCCTTCTTTTTTTTTTAGGTGATGCCCTCCCTCGCCAAAGTCTTGCTACACACGCACAACTGGAATGCGCAAGAGATGATCCAGAAGTACAAGCAGAACGCAGCACAAGCACTCGCCGATGCCCGGATCAAGCCACTTCGACCACCGGCGATAGATATGCAGGTCAGTGACCCTGCAATCGGACACGGCCAGATTTTATGCTATACTTCGTTGCCCTCAAACTGCAAGCATAGTAGAAGCTACAAGGTCGATCTCCGTGCTTGCGGTGTCCATGCTGAGCATGCAGGCTCTTGCAATACAAGCATTGTTCGTGGCAACATGCTCGTGCTTGTAGCTTTGGCTTTGCTTTCACGCAAGGTGAAACGAATTGTAGAGATCCTGCAGTGAAGGAGTGCACCAGAGTTTTCATCGTGTTTAGTTTGAACTGTGAGCACCTGGATAGAATCCGTGCAAAGTTGGTTGTTTGCTACCTAAATTGTTTCTTCTCTATTAGTCTTTTTGTATGGGATGCCCGAGTTCGCTTGCTCAAAGCAATACGCCTTTTCAGTGAGAATCCCTCACGTTGGTACTTCTGAGTTCTCTCCTGTCTCTTTCTCCAAACTTCTATACTTTGTCTCATCCTATGATGAACTAAAGGCCAAAGCCACAAGCCGCCAGGCCCAATCACGTTCCATGGTGTACTATGACACGCTTAACATTGATTAGGGGTGGACGAATATTGCTCGAATTCAAAAGCACCGCATCATTCCTATAGCTTCGACGCTGCAAAGAGCCTATATGTCGTGGCTTTCTTTTCAATGTAAAATTGTTGAGTCACTAAGTGCTCTTCGATTCGGACCACTATCCACCCGTCTTCTCATCACTGATCGGAGGCATCGAAGCGAAATACCGCACAATTTCTTAGTGGCTTGTGATTGGATCCGGCGGTCCATAGCTTTCACCTTTAGTCCATCGTAGGGTAAGACGAAGTATAGTTTAAATTTGACAATGAAAACACCATCCCATATTGGGGCTGCTTGAATCGTCGATGGCTACATTTTGCCTCAATTCACCTTATTCTCTACTGTAGGGGTTCTCAAACTGGGTTCCGAGGAACTCTGAAAATCTCACAGGTTCCTTGAGTTCCCAAATGTGCTTGACTGTTTCTTGCCCCAAGTAAATAGGTTTTCCGGTCCAAGTTCTATTTTACCAGATGAGCCACCCTATGATGCATAAGTGAGCCAAACACATTATTGTATGTACATAATAATGTATGCAGATTATTCTTTACAAGGTCAGCTTCCGCGGTGCTCTATTCCATCAATGACAAGGCTGGGAGGGCCTCCTCGGCTGCCATTTAAAGGGACGCTGACACCCCCCCCCAAAACTTTTTTTTATTTTTTGTAGCTGTAGTTTTGGCTATGGTGTCAGAAGACTACCCGATCAATATTTTGCTACTGTGTTGCATATACTTTTAATAGTCGTGTGCGAATGGTGGTTTTTGAGTTCGAAGCGAATAATGGTTTTGGCCGAATAATTTCGATTCAAATATCGAATAGTTTTTTCCTGCCTTTCACTACCATTGCATAATGCTTAGACAAAAACCCTGCTAAACTTGTGAAGGTTGTTCCATTTGTTCATCTAAAAGCTAAGTTTAATCTATCTAGATTTATGAACTGTAACCTCAGAAGGTCTGATGTCTTGGGATGGCAAGTAAACGACGGATTGGACATAAAATGAATCCTATAAAAATGGCCAACTATACCCAATTGAGTGAATTTACAAATCTTGCTATACGAAATATTCTTCCTTTAATCGAGAGTCAAAAAGGAATGAATCATGCATGATGAATGCAGGTTGTAAAAGCACCTCTGCCTAACAATGCTCTTGCATAAGTCAGTTTAATTTGTAACTTTTACTACAGTGTAAATATATACATCCACAAAGTTTTCATTTATTTTCAAATACAGCCGGCACGCGTGCACCATCCCGCTTTGAATGTATGCTTTCCTTCCAGGCACGCAGTTGCGATATTCATATTTTTCCTAGTGTTTATCGCAGCGGGTTACCCCGTTGAGTGCGCTTCTTACCAAGCACCTATTTAATGCAGAGAAGCAACCCGTGGAGCTCGTTTTCGCGGGTATTGCTTCTCTGCAGTGCACCGGTGCTAGGTAAGGAGCACACTCAATGGGGCTAAACCACTGCAATCAACACTTTGAAAAACGCGAATAGTGCAGTTCTTCTTGAAGCGAATATCAAATAGTGTATTACTCGAAACTACTATTCGAAATTTTGAATATTCGCACAACCCTAATTTTTAATAAAGTCAAAAACGCAACTGCTCGAAACCGAAACTGGACTGGGGAGGAAGAATATAGAGTAAAAAGATACCAAAATTCACGTGGCTGTGCAACTTTTTTTGTTTTTTTCACTCAATGTGTTTGCAGCTCTTTAGAAGCCTCAAAAAATGGGTATCACATTTTTTGTCCATTTCTAGTATTTAGTGTGTGCCTTCAATGGACCCACGACTATGATTATCTTTGGTGGTTGTGTCTAAGCCATAGAAAATGGCACGTGACCACGAAGAGGAGAGTGAGCGCTACTCAAGCCAGCCAGTTCTTTTGATCGGTGGTTTTCGGGCTGAAAGAAAACAAATTTCAAGCCGCAGATTGTGTTCAGCGTAGTTGGGCTCTCATATGTCATGTACAAAATAAAAACCGTGGCAAGCATAAATACCCTGTCAGTATCCCTTTAAGGTAAATAGGAAGTTGCTCAAGAGTTAAAAGTTTGAGAACTGCTGCTCCACTCTATGGGCGGTGTGACCTTGATCTCAGGGGGGGGTTTCTGAACACTCAAATGAATCGGCCATCCATTTTAGCAGCGTAGCTGTGAGAATGTTTGTAAATCTCTTAGTTCATTGCTTCATGATGTGTGGCATAGTCGAGCTCTGGAGTCCCCCAAGTGAGCAGTTACGTGGCACTGGTCCAACCGCCATGTTACAGCAGACACAAATTTCCACATTTCATGGCAGGTTAACCAATGGCTTACTGAAGCCACTCAGACTTTGAACCGTGTCTTCTCTGACATTCCTCGTGCCTCGTATAAGGGTACGAGCGAATATACCAATAGTGCTGCCACCTTAACGGTCTCACACATTCGAAACTGGCCAGCTGCAACCACCACGGGGCTCGTCGGACGCACTGCGACTCGCTCTCTCCCTGCTGACATTTGCAGACGATCCGCAACAGTCCGTCTGTCCAGTGCCCCATCTGCCTCCAGAATTCTCCTGGGGACCGCTTTAGGGGTCTGGCCTGCGGTCACTACTTCTGCCCTGACTGCTGGGCCATGCACTTCGAGATACAGATCCTCCAGGGCATATCCACCGGTAAAACCCCTAGTCACTGAGCCTCCTAGAGTTGCCCCCCTAGAGTCAGGGTAAGACCTAGAGTCACTGAATAAGCTATGCTTAGAGTATCTACACCCCAGGCTTTTTTTGTGGGTGCAGCCATCTTGTTGCCAAGCAGAAAACAGTCGCCTGTGGCGATGATTACGATTAGAAAATGCAACTTACTGAACTATACCGTGAGGCTCCGAAAGAATGCCCACCCATAATGGAGAGATAAATGGTAAAAAACTTGGGGTTGGCAATCGTTGGGGATGCCACAGCGAAACTTTATCGAAAATATAATGATAAACTCTCTGGCACTGGCTACAAACCACCTCTCGTGGGAATTGATACCGCAGGTCGCAGACACTGCAAATTTGCGTTTCACACTGCGATAAACATGCGGGAATTTGCTACGAACTCCTGTGTCACGGGAAAAGATACTGCAGGTCGCGGTTGCGGCAGATTCGCGTTTCATGGTGCGAAGGACCCACGGAAACCCACCGAGAACTCACATCTCACGGGAATGAATAGTGCAAATCACAGACGCAGCAGACTCTAGTTTTAGGGTGCAATGAACACGTGGGAACCCGCTACAAACTTGCCTGTCACAGGAACCATTATCGTGCGTGCAGATTGCGGACACCAATGTGGGAATTTGCTAAAAAAAACAATTACCGCGGATTTTGAACGCAGCAGACCCATATTTCCCGATGCAATATGCATGCGGGACCAACTCGAGTAAAATCAAGATCGCGGACAAAGATGCGGGAGTCCGCTACAAACTTTATGTCACGGGGCAGATACCGCAGATTGCAGACGCAGCAGATTCGCATTTCACGGTGCAACATACACGCGGGAACAACTCGCGTGTTATGGGAGACGATATCGCACGTGCAGATCCCGGACAAAAACATGGGAACCCACTATGAACTCGCTCATCAGACGTACCGGTGCAGCAAATTGCGCATTTGATGGAATTCCCGCCAGACAGTGCCTGATATCCGACAGGAATCGGAGGGGGGACGGGTGCGGGCAATGTTTTGGAATTATTATGTTACAGATATTTTGCCAGAAAAATGGGATGAGCGATTTCCCAGGGGCGGGCATTCTCTCGAAATTTTACGCTAGGTATTGCGTGGGGAAGCTCTGGCCATGTCATTTTGCTCTGTCGCGGACTGTTTTAAACATTTCCAGTAGGATAAGCCAGATTTCTTTGCGATTTCGGATGAAGCTTCGGGCAACTGGCAACAATGGTTTTAAGCTACGGGATGCCTCAAGTGCTACTCAGAAGCATAGCTCATTTAGTGGCCAATCAGACGCTACTAAAGTGCCTGGAAAGCGTCGCCGACCGGTGCATTTAGTGTCCCGTCCCACCAAAGCGGTCCTCAAGTGGGGACAAATGATGTCTCAGAAGCCGGACTGTCTTGTTGTACGGCGTCACGATTCCGGCGGTTGGCGCTGGAAGCAACTTGGGCAACGATTGCACGAAGTGATGCGTTTGGACAGCGGCGGCAGGGCCGTGACGTGTCTTCCCGCCGAATTTAGCGGGGAGACTGAATTGGTGCGAAGGTCACTGTACGTCAATTGTTCAGCTAAATCCAGTGGGGAACCTAAATTTGTCTGTGCGTCCCATGACATCGGGTCACGTGACATCAATTTTCCCACCACATTTAGTGGGGAAACTGAATTCCTGCGTAGGTCATGCGACATCAATTTTTCCGCTAAATTTAGTGGGGAAACTGAATTGGTGCCTGGGTAAGCGTGCAACGTGCCACTAACAGCTGCTGTTGTAAGAGTATGAGGAAATGCAGACCTCGCTGTCGTCGTGGCGTCCCAACTACTGCCGAAGTTTCATCAGACTGTCAACTCGAGGAACGACTTGAGGCAGAACAGGCGTCGGCTACACTGCTAGCGTGATGCGTCACTCCTTGCCTTCGCGGCGAAAAGGCAGGCTGTGGTATTCTGCCTCTTGCTTTACCGAAAAAGCTAAGGGTAACTGGACGTCGGTTAGTTGGGAGCCTTCTTTTGATGTAGTTAGGGTTGCCTTCGAGTCAAGTGTTTTGTGACATGTCGTCTCTTCTGCCCCTTTCCAGCAATAGAATGCATGGGCCAGTACTGCAATATCCTGGTTCCGGAGGACTTCGTCCTCAGCATGCTGAACAAATCGTCGCTGAGGGAGAAGTACCAGCAGTTTATGTTCTCGGACTACGTTCGGGTATATCAAGCTTGCCTTCAATCTTGCCTTACCCAACAAAACGGAACTGTAACGCAACTTTCTCTTGTCCAGAGCCATCCAGAGCTGCGGTTTTGTCCCGGCCTCAACTGCAACATTATTATCCAAGCCAAAGAGCAGAAGAGCAAGAGGGTCATCTGCAAGCACTGCAAGACTACCTTTTGGTTAGGAACTACTTCCGAATTACTTTACAGAGTCGTCTAGAGAAGAGAAATTGTGCGAGAATCATTTTTTTCCTGTGCCCTGCTTTTATGGAATATTTGCGAGAGAAGGAACAATGTGTTGCGTGCTGCGGAGAGTTCAGACAACAGCTGAGTGTATTGCTAGCACTTGAGACAAAAATTCCACGTAACTTAACGGGCAACACTACCAGAGCTTTTTGTTATATAACTTGATTCAATTCAAATGAAATTTTCATGGCTTATCTGCCGTTACAATCTGACTACAAATATGTACCTGGTTTTGGTGTAACCTAATAAGTTTTGCTAATATTTAAAATTTTACTTGCAAAGATTATGGAAAGGATTATGACAAATTGAACTACTGGAATTAGAAAATCACCTGATGCCATATTTCATATATTTATACCCTTTATTGCATATCTCAAACATACCCCTGCCAGAGAAATAAAAAATTATGAAGGTTGGATATGTGCAAGTGGAAATATGGCTTTCATAAAACAGTAAAGTGTGTAAATTGTGTAAATAGTTCACTCAAATATAAAATAACAAAAAACATCCACAGACCCATTTTACTTTGTTTCCAAGGCAATATTTCAAGATAAGACGGACTTATTTAACAAAAATCCTTCAGGACAAGATGATGTGCACCTGCCAATCTTCAGAAAACACAATTTCAAAAATATGTTTTCTTTATATATCTTTGACTCTGAGTCAAATGCATGCTGCCAATAACAGATAGCATTTCTTCAATAAAAATGTTTAGGAAATCGCTTACTATAATCACTGATGGGACAAGAGTCGGGAGCACCTCTTTCAGATGCGCAGTCTCTGGCCCTCGTTCATTGCTTTCTTTCGTTTATTCTGTCTGCAACTATAATCAAATAGTAATTTCAAGGGTTCACCCGCTGACACTCGAGACAGTGTTTATGTAAAGTTTTCAATCCATACAAATCCCAAACACATTCCCTGGCCGTGTTCAGCTTTACAAATAAAGAAATGGTAGAAAACGTTGAATTTTCTCAACCTTTCATTTTGAGTAGACATCAGTATTATCTGAAAAATAAGGATCGCATAATTTAAAAGCTATGGCGAAACTGGAAACAGGTTTTGCTTTCATTGTTTTGCAATTGTAGGCCAAGTTCCAGACTCAACCCAAGGACACCAGTGCATACCTGCCAACTCTCCCGAATTTTCTGGGAGCCTCCCGAATTTCGATCACATTTCCCGATTGTACGGGCGCGACCTCAGATCTCTCGCAAAAAATGTCTGCCATAATTTTTTTTTTTTATGACGCCTTATTGCTATAATTATCACGCGTGTGTCATTGCGAGTTACTCGAGAGTAGGTTTAGGTTACTCCGGCGGGTTACCACGTGACAACTTGGAGCAGTAGCGTAAAACGAGGGTAGATTTTCAAACACCAAGGTACGAAACCTCTACTCCTGAATTAGAGCGCATTTTGGAACACGGCTTATATGACCACGGTTGCGCTAGGCTTCAGTTGGCTTTGTCAGGTCGTCGAGTGAGGTGCGGAACGCCAAACTACTTTTCGTGTTTCCCTGAGTTTAGTTGGAACCACTGATCTCTTGGAACGATCGATGACACTCTCAAAAGCCACGAAGTACTTGCAAGTATTTCTAAGATCATACGCGACTGAGTTTCCGGGCGTTGTCGTTTCGCAGAAAGCTGACAAGTATGAATTCTGTACCATGTGCGCCCGTGATGTGTGAGCGTTTCGCACGGCGGCAAGCTTGACATCAAGGTACAGATCGCTTCACGAAAGCATCAGAACCATGCTCGTGCCGTAGAAGGGCAGGGCACCACCGGCAGTTTACTCCAAAACAACTGCAAAGACAGTGTGATTCGTGCAGAGTGCCTCTTCACGGCAGTCTCCCGAATTTTTGTGTTGCAAGGTTGGCAGGTATGCCAGTGATGCCGCCGGAATAGAAGTACATTTGTGCATCTGGTAATCAGTGTCTGCGTCATAAATGCTAATCTCTTTGCTATTTTCACAATTGGGGAGGGAGGAGACCAGAATAGTTTGTGTTTCGTGCCATTTATTTATTGTGATGTGCGCACATGAAACTGAATATACTTAGCGGGTTACAGACTGATTTGCAGCAAGCTCTAAAAGTGCTCTTCTTTTCCTTCTGTTCTTGTTGGCAGCTTCCGGTGCGGTACAGACTACCATGCTCCGGCGGACTGCGAGACTATCAAGAAATGGATCACCAAGTGTGCCGACGACTCAGAGACTGCCAACTATATCTCCGCTCATACGAAAGATGTGAGCTCACCCTCTTTCATAGTCTTTCCCAGATTTGGAATATGGGGAAGAAGTCCCCAGGTTGGGGGTCTCTAATCTGGGGGGGTGGGGAAGAACAGTCCCCAGATTGGGCTATTGGTAGTGATCTGGGGGGGCATCTCCAGGTTTAGGAAATGTGTGGTGTTTCTGGGGGGCAACAAACAGGGGAAAATGAGGAATTGTCGATGAAATGCCTAAGAATTGGGGCAATACACTGTCAAAGCAGGGGAGATTTCTGATTAGACGTTACACATGCTTTGAGTCACTTTCCTCGGGAGATTTAACTATGGCCTTTGGTGTACTGGTTCTAATTTTGAGCACATTATTGCACAAGTGGGAGCTCCAAAAACTGAAGCATCTCATCCTCTAAAGTTTGGCACTCCACAAAATATTGTTATACATGCTTTTTTTTTTTTTTTTCCTGTTTGTTTTAAAGTTTTTGTGTTGGAAGCTTTTCCCTTTTGTATTTTTAGATCGTAGATTGTTCATTCTGGTGGTTTGGTTTTGCAGTGCCCCAAGTGCCACATTTGTATAGAAAAGAACGGAGGGTGCAATCACATGGTGAGTTTCCTGAAAATCTGGAGAAGCATGAAATTTCACTCTGGTGCAGAGCTTTTAATAGTCTGCATACGAGTGATGAGTATGCTGTCAAAATGCACGCTCATCTATTGATTCTTTGTTTGTTGCAGCAATGCTACAGCTGTAAATATGACTTCTGCTGGATGTGCCTGGGAGGTAGGTTTGTGACGCGTTTCAAGCATTCGGAATTTCTTTTTCGTTGAATTTGTGCCATATTGTGTTTTATCCCCATGAAACAAAATTTGTCTTGCTAAACCTCCTTTTTTTCTTTTTGTGCCTGTACCTCTGTTTTGTTTGTCTTAAAATGCATTTTCCTTTAAAAAAAATTAATGAATGCAACATTTTTTCGCCAGATGCGATTTAATTGAAGCTGTGGGTGCAGCGTAGTGGCCACCCTCCTCTCCGCATTTTTTTCTTGCACCTTTTGTCAGTGCACAGACGAGGCAGAGGTACAGAGGGGAGGTATGGGGTGGGCATACCTCTCCTCCGTATTCGTTCCTGCCAATGGGAGGCTTACTAGATCACCTCTATTTTGACGTCACTGACATTCGCACAGTCATCTTAAGATATCTTGCATCAACCTCCAGACAGGGATGATTTTTTGAGCCAGCGTGCTCGATCTGGACAAGCTCACTCCAGACTCAAAACAAGTGTCGCGGCGTAAATATTGCATTACCCCTTTGACGGTCATCGCCGTACATGTTTGTCTATGAGTACACATTTGAAAGGCCCGTCTAAACGTGTAACTGCTTGCACCGCGGAGGTGTTGCCATTTGGTCTGTTTTTGCGAATCAAAAACATTATAATCGCACAGTGTTTCACTTTGGTGGGCTATTTATACTTTTTAAAGTAAATGCTCGACGCACATGATAATGCTCGCTTCGCTTGACGGCCTCTCTGGCGGTAGTGCCAACGGGAGCACAGGCTTTTTCGATTCAGGATTCTAACATTTTACAGAATTAAATTCAGCGGACGAGAGCTCGTCGTCAGACGGAGAAGCTCTGTAAAGTACCTCCGGTTACGAATCTGAAACCGCCGGAATGGCACGGAAGCAGGCATGCCACAGTGAAATCGAATGGGTGGTGGCAACTTTTTGCCCTCAGTATTTTCATTTGATGACTTTAAAGGGATACTACAACGAAATTTTGGCGCTCATTTTTTGGTCTCTATGTGTTCAAAAGAGCAGTATCACATGGAACATACCAATATCTTGTTAAAAAAGTCACGAAAAGGAATTTTAAAACGAATTAAACGATTAGCAAAGAGCACCTGGTGGATGTCGCTAACGCCTCGTTTGTAATGCTCGTCTAGGAACCTTGACAGCTAGTGACGGAGGTTGTCTCGTCTCCGGCCACGACGAGAGAAGGGGGGAACGAGGAACTCCCCTCTTCCCGAGAATGCCTTTTGTGTGTCTCAGAAGTCGCTATTGTCCCCCTAGAAGATTATAGAAGATTAGCCCGTCACTCAAAATTCGTACAAAAGCAGCCGCTTCGGTGGCTGGAACGACTAGGCCATCCTCTCGACGTCAGCCTCGCCGTAGCTTTGCTCGTCTTGAGACGACCTACGTCACGATTGCGTTGGATGTCACGTGGTCTCCGCTGGGCCTTCTCCGAGCGCTTGCCAGAGTGGGCCGTTAATAACAAAAAATACAGCCACCAGGAACAAAATACAAACGTGCGATTGTCATTTACGGATATTGTGGATCATATCCAACCTATTTTTGAACACGACGGGAATATTTCAAATTTCGTTGAAGTATCCCTTTAAACCTGAACAGCCTGCAAACACTGTATGTGCTCCCACCAGTTAATAAGAAAAAAAAAAAAATTGCACATTGACTCTTTCTTTGTACTGCTCCTTTGAAAAGAAAACTCAAACACTAAAACACATCTTTTGGAAATGAAAAAACAAACAAAAAAACGTCAAGGGGTACTTTATTTTAATTTGTTTGCTGAAAGTGCGTTTTGTGACATACTTGGCTCATCCAAGCTGTCATAACTATGTTGTTGTTTTTGTTTTTTGTTTTTTTTGGGGGGGAGGGGAGGGGAGGGGGAGTGTCCAAGCTTCTGTTGAAAGCCATAAAACCTCATTTTTTGTTTGGCTTTTCTTTTTTGTCTAGATTGGAAGACCCACGGTAGTGAATACTACGAGTGCAGCCGATACAAGGAGAACCCCAACATTGCCAACGAGTCTGCCCACGCCCAGGCGAGGGAAGCGCTGAAAAAGTACCTCTTCTACTTTGAGCGAGTGAGCTTACTGAAAAAGTACCTCTTCTACTTTGAGCGAGAGAGCTTACGCCTGCTGTCGTGGGCATTTGCAAACAACTTTCTCGGTTTCGTGCCTTTGTGAAAGTCCAGTGATGTGATTGCTGCGCCAATTGCGCCAAACTGCGCCAAGGGGCTAACTCTGCTACATCCTGCTACATTTCGCCAAAATATGGCTAATCTGCGCCAAGCCTGCGCCAAAAAAACAATTTTGGTCGCCTTTCAAAAACGAAACTAAGCTGAGAACTGTAATTGAGCATACGTGAGCTAGGTGGCACAAGACGCCGCCCGACACAAAGTACCCTGCATCAATCGTCTATTCGGTCTTGCATGGTTTTTTCCGCCGTTCGCGTTTCGCGCTCTCGTCGTCTCGGGTCTTTTTTTTTTCTTTTTTTCTTTTTTTTAATTTTTTAGCAATAGACGCGGGCATGTGCGAACGCTCCGACGTTAGTTAGTGTGCCGGGTTCCAGACATGCCGTCATGCTGCGAAACAAAACCACGTTTTTGCGCGGCGAGAGTTACTTCGTGAGCTGAAGCGCTCGCGCGACCGCAGTCGCCGTGGTCGCGCGATGTTGTGTGTTGCCGTCCCCACGTCGCTGCAGATGTGGCGCTTTCTAAACTGAAACGCATCGACATTCCTGCTCTTGTTTAAATCATACGTCGCTATAAAAACCCCTCTTTAACTCAATGACTGCTTGGCGAAGTTTTGATTATCTAGGTTCCTCTCGGTGGACTTTCTTTCGAGAGGGACCCCGGTACGTGGAAAATCTGCCGCGAAAGAAAGTTGATGACGAGAAGTGAGCAAAAGCAAAGAAGGCAATGGTCTGCACGCTGAACCCGCACACCGCGCTTGTTTGTCTCGAGTTCAGTCGTTGCGCAAAGCGCTCCAAGAACTTTTTGACCCTGATTCGCAGTGTCTTGCATCGATACGCTCAGGGTCTTTTTTTCTGTGTGTTTAGCCTGTACCTCGCCTGCCGGCCTGGCAAGCACGTGCCGCTGGTCTGTTTATTGTCGTGTGCTGGACAGTTACATTTTGCATACTATTTTGGGAACCAGTTGGCGACGGAGCGGAGTGGCATGGTTTCGGTTTCGGTCGAACTGCCGTTGTCTCCGCTCACGCGACGAAGCACGTGTAACTGCAAACCTGCCGAAGTTGCCCTCACGTGCATGTGAATATGATTGCACGAGAGGCACCAGCCGGGACGCTTGCAATTCATTGTTTTACGTTTGCTTACATTTTATAAAAATCTGCCACGTCGGGAACCAGTAAAAGATAAGTTTTTTGTTGTTTTTTTTTAATTGCTCGGCAACGCCTACAGCGGCAAAAACACAGGCAGCGAATTCCACCCCAACACGTCACACGCATCAGAACACAACACAAAGTGTCCTTCGTTTGTCCAGCACTTACAACAACTATTTATTTTTCTAACAATATCTCCTCCAAAAGTCACTTTTTCTGCTCCGAAACACTGTTTTGGCTGCTCCAAAAGCCACTTTTGCTGCTCCAAAACACTGTCTTGGCTGCTCCAAAGGTCACATTTGCTGCTCCAAAACACTGTTTTGGCTGCTCCAAAAGGTGCTCCAAAATGGCTTAGGCCAATCACATCACTGAAGTCATGTGCTGTGGTGTCCGAGGCCTGCCTGCGTCCAACGTTTGCTTTCCCCATCTTTTTTTTTTTGCAAATTCTCGAAAATGAAACTGCAATTTCTCGGGCTTTGCAGTTCTGATTTCTGCTCTTATTTTGTTGTGTTCGGTCAAGTATTTTTAAATTATTTCCTTCGTTCTGAAATTATTCCCAAATATATTTTAACTATGCATTACTCTGAAGGGACAGTTTGTCTTGTCATTCCAGCAATATAATGTCCTTGCTTCCCATATTATTAGGATACTGTATTTTTTTCTGGGTCTTTTGAAGAAAACAAAAAGACTCAGTACGTCAGTTTAAACCCTACAGGCTCCATCGAAAAGCCATGGTTTACCTGGGTACGATCCCACACATTATGTCAGGTCTGTCGGAGTAACATTCTGAACACTTGCTTTGCTACCTGCACATTTTTGAGGCCTACACACTCCACAACATTGGCAGTTTGCAAACATCATTTTTGAGGCTTGGGTAGCGAGGTTAATTATCACCACTCCCTTTTCGTTCCGAATGCCGTAGCTGCCGGTTACTGGTTCCCTTAGCGAATGCGGGGACCGTGAAGCTTGGACGTATGTTACGAGGGCGTCCCAAGTTCCATGTGCTTCCATGTTCCATGTTCCCCCAGTGGGAGAACCACGCCAAGAGCCTGCGACTGGAGGAGATGACGCTGCGCAAGATCAAGAACCGCATCAACGAGAAGGTGATGGCCAACCAAGGGACATGGATCGATTGGCAGTACCTGCTTGACGCGGTGGCCCTCTTGGCCAAGGTGGGTGCTTGGGCCTCTTGCGGCCGGACAAAAAGACAATCGGGTTTTTACATGGTCTCTTCCGTGATCTCTTACGACGGGAGCAGAGCCGTATATGTAGAGAGTTTGGCCATTCGTTGGGAAGTATAGGAGACAAATGAAGCGGCGCCATTGGCCGAAAGCGGGCTGGGCGTGTTCCAGGGCGTCTTCAGAAATTCGAATGTGACCAACCAAAAGCCGGAAAAAATACCCTGGCGGTGGTCGCGAGAAACAAACCTGATAACTGCATTGGAGTAACTCTTGATGGCTGAAAATATGGTACACGTGACGTTTCAATCACACTCATCTAAAATGATGGTGGAACAGTGCGACTAGCAAAAAGATCGACATAATCCTTACGCCGAGCGCCGGGAATCTGCCGTCAGAGCGGTCACACTCTGTCCGTGCAAAACAGAGTTGAGCGGCGCATTCGTTTCTTACATCTTTCTGCATGATCATGATGAAGCAACACGTAGAACCTATTTTCAACCACAAAGAGTTACTACACTTCACTCTTACGCACTTATTAAAACCATATACGAACATAGACCTTCGATGCCTTCGATGATCGATCGGCTCAGAACTGTTTCTTGCTACCACCGCTAGGGGATTCTTTTCGGCTTCTGGTTGGTCAAGAGAGCATGCCAAGCCCTCTTTCCGAGTCTACCGCACACCCTGGCTCTGCCCGCGCCTCCCATTGACCAAACTCTCTACATATACGGCTCTGGACGGGAGAACACGCTGGCACCATCTATAAGGTGGCCCTGGAACTACATTTCACCGAGCGAAGGTTTTGTGGCATTTGCGAAATAAAACAAATCTATGTATTATTTATAAAAAAATAATTGATTGTAACACTGTCCAAAGTTTTCCAAGCAAAAAAAAAAAAAAAAAAAACTTATGCGTGAAAACATTAAGAGAATGTACAGAAATGCCGAGTGTTCCGCAGCTACCCGACAGATGGCGCCAGTGTGCTCTCCCGTCGCTAAGAGGATTTAAGGCACACGGTTGTAAGCAGTCGCATCTGTGATGTGAACCATCTTTAACATGCGAGTTCAACTCAAAACAAAACTGCTTGTTTCTGCCAGCTCGGTCATCATAAGACCCTCTTTTTTTCGCCTTTTTCTTTATCCTATTTAGCTCCATTGTGCTTTCTAGGTCACCCCGCACCATTCTATACTCTATTTCACAAGCTGGGTTTAGTGCTAGCAGACGTACAAGCGTGAACGTGTTGCTTGCAAAATGCTTTCCCTGTGCAAGAGCTTGTGCAAACCACGTATTCCGCAGAGCGCCGCTCTTACAGCTGTGCCTTTGCTAGTGCTGAAGACATCTTGTGAGAGGGAGTGTATGTAACTCTATTCTCATCTTTTGACTAGAAAAATAAATATGGAGCACGAAAAGAAAAGGTTTAGACTGAGAAGTACAAACGACATTGTCTTGTCCTTTTTCTTTTTTTTGTGCGCTGTACATATATTTTTTCTAGTCACGAACTAACTCGCCTGCTGTGCCACTTTAGAGCTTTCTTTGGTTGATGTGCGGGTGATTGACTTGCAGAGCAACTTGTTTGTACACTTGCAGATGAGATGCACTTTTGTGTTTTCTGTACGAGATTTTGTTATTGTTACTAATTTTGTTTAGCCTCCTGAGGTTTGCTTTGTTTACCAGAGACCTAAGTCTGGTTTTGTGCGTTGTTGCAGTGCCGCTATAGCCTCCAGTACACATATCCCTATGCCTACTTCATGGACCCTGGTCCCAGGAAAGAGCTGGTGAGTCTGACATCAAGGCTTTTGCATGTGCCGGCCTCTTTCTGCGGTAGTTGGCACGTCGCACCATTACTTGCTTTGGCACAAATAAACATGCATTCTGAGCTTCCTGCAAATCTGGTATGGAGTCCGAGGGTTTCTTGAAAACCATTTTCCAAGCACAAGAGGGTTCTGGAACACAGTGTAATGCCCTCGAATGGTAGCCATATAACCGTGTATAATAATCTGAGCTTAAAATCTTTGATGAAGCATAAACTCTTTGATGAAGTGCATCAAAACTATTAGTCAGTGTTCGCTTGTCTTGGCTGTGTCCAACTTAATACCGTGTAAACTGGAATATAGATCGAATTTTTTTTTTTTTTAAATGGACCTGAAAAAAGTTGTCTTTCGTCTTATATAACGGTTATTCGCGGGAAAACAAAAATAATCTCGTTACACTAGGTGGCTGAAGTTGCCATTTTGTTTTTCTTTGCAATCACCTAGTACTCGTCCACTTGTCACGATGGTCACGATTCACTTTCACTTGTGCTCCTCGGTTTGTTACATCTACCGTTGCTGCTTCTGGAGTGATAATGAGCGGAAGTAGAAGACAGTTTATGGTAGCCTTTAAGAAGGCAATCACCTATGCAGAGATCCACAGGAATCTTGCAGCACAGCGAGGGTTTTGTGTACCGGAGAAAAGTATGCACTACCGGCGAAGCCGGAGACAAAAACTGGCGGCGTGCAGCAAGACGAAGAAAACTTCATTTTGTGGAACGACTGCAGTGTACCTCGAATTAGAAACAAAGGTGGCAAATTTTATTCGGTATCTGTGCGCCAGATCGTTCGTTACCTGTGACGTCGGAGCGCATCCGTACAAAAGCTGTCGAGGTCGCTTGTTCCTCCAGGCTCTCGAGGGCACAATTGAAAGGGACAGCATCGTCCTTTTGAACTGCGTTAGTGAACTCGTCGTCGGACAAAGGTTCTGAAGAATCTGAGTAGTAATCTCGCGCACTTCCTGTTTTATTGTGTAAAAAGCAATTAAATAGATGTGCAGTGTTTTCTCGTCCTTCCGTATACTTGGCCGATTTCGTTACCTAGGTAATGTTGCATTTTCTTGCCATAAACACCTTTTCTCGCTTTTTGCAACTTGTAAATTAGGGGGTCGACCTATATTCCAGTCTATATGGTAATTTAAAACTACTACAGTAATCCGTTGTTATAACCAAATTGGTTTTTTCGAATTTCCTCTTTTAATGAAGTTCTATGTGGTCCCGACCGAAATGCGCACATTTTTAACCGTAATATTCTAAGTGTATCGGCGACCGACCACACTTATTACGAAAGCCGCGGTGCCAAAAACACTCAAGCCTACATGGAGGTGCACAAAGACCCCTGCATTCCCTCCCCCTTCTCCACCGAGGCAAACAGCAAACTGGGAAAACAGCTAACAAGAAAACAGAGTAAACGGGTGACGGAGGGCAGAGCGTGCAGAGCTTCGCTTCCGATGCCGATGTGCCGACTTGGAGATGCAGGCAGGGAGTGGCAGGAGTGGGGTCCATATTCCGATTCTACTTACGGCGCCGACGGCCGGCACTGCCCAACTCTGTCAGAAGCAGGTCAAGGGAGCGTTGGAGCCCGGAGGAGATCATCCCTTCGGGAGCCTTCGACGCGCGCGCCTGTGGTGTATGCACGCACACGTGCGTCGTATGGGAAGTTAGGACTGTTTACCGAAAGTCGCTTGGAGCTGCGAGGTTGAGAAAAGTGGTATGCCTTAGTCTGAAATCGCCAAAGAATTCAATGTGCTGGCATCAGCTGTTCGACACTGTCCACCGTTTTGCAGAACAAGCAAAGCATATTAAATGGGTTCGAGAAGTTTCTCATGAATGAATAAATGATCGCCAACTGCTTTGCACACGTCGGTTTATCTTTTGCGAGCATACTTGTCGAGCCGACGCGCGATTCCCGTAGCTGCAATGATCTCTACAGGAGTGTGTGGAAACATGTCGGCAAAGCCGCCAAGGAAAACTTTGATTCATTCGCGCTTGTCGATGCGGATGTTCCCATCGTTGTTCCTGCCACAGATGCTGCGATCGTAGACCTTGCGTGCGGCCAGGGTAAACAAGAAGCGACGTCTATCATTTTTGGGTCCTCGGGAAAGTATTGGCGTGCTTTTGAAAGCCCCGTAGTCCAATATAGCGTTATTGGGCAGGAGATTGAACTATAGGAAGCGCTCTGACCGGTTTGTTTACCCCTCGGTGTTTACTTAACATAAGGCCTGTGCTCGTGCCCACAGGCCTTATGGGCATGTCCATGTCATCTTCTACAATAGAGCACGGGGCACAGTTTAATGTAAAAAATACTAATAATCGACGAAGCAACGTTAAGTGCCGGATCTATCCTCGGAGAATGTGTGCTTGACCCACTTCGGCTTGTGCTAACCTGGAACCGTGCATGCTGCATTGTTCATGCAGGCTGGAGTGGAAACAAAAGAGCCCCTCCTCCCCCTCACCGGAGAACAGGGAACTCCAGCCGAACGCCGACGCCGCGTTCGGTTATGTCGACCGAGCGCGGAGTCATTGCATTTGTTGTCCCCATCCGTGTAGTTCTAAAGTTAACCGCTTGGGGCATCACGGTCGCTCCTCCTCCCCAATAATGGAGGCATCGGCGGTTCATGAGCACATAAATGAATAAATAGCAATTCGAAGAAGGAAACCAGCAAAAAAGAAGGCAAAGCCTGCTCTTGGACTCAAGAATGCTATAGTCGCAGACGGGACGAGGACGGCTCGCCATTTTTTGGAGGCGCCCGACCTCCAACACGCATTCGTTGCCCTTGTCATGCTTTAGCTGCGTGTGCATGCTCGTGTTGGAAGCTGGACAACTGAATGAAAGTGACTGTAGGGTGGCCAAGTAGCAGTTCATATGGAGTCAGTGGCCTGCAATTTCCAAGATTAATTACTCTGCACCTGTAGTCACGTTCCTGTAAGCGTCCACTCATTATCGTAACAATGGGTGTCAGTGCCGAGAGGCACACAATTTCGTTTGTCAGGCGTTCGGAAACTACTGCTAGGAAAACCATTCTGGCAAGTTCTAATTTGCCAAAATTGTTTCCTCTTTCCTTTTTTTAAATTCAGGATTAGTAATATTTTAAAAAAGTGCTAAAAATAAAGTTTACCATAGAATATTGAAGAGGGGGATACCATTCTTTACTTTTCCAAACTTCGAAAATTAATTTTTTTTTTTATATATAAATTCATTTTGTTTTGGGGCAACACGTCAGCTGCTTGTCAGCGCTGCTTTACGCCACCAATCTTCGCCGCTTTTCTTTCTTTTGTGCAGTTTGAGTACCAGCAGGCAACGCTGGAAGCGGAGATTGAGAATCTCTCCTGGAAGGTGGAGCGGGCGGAGACGACGGACCGGGGGGTGAGTCTACCTGTCATTCCTTTTTTTTTTTTCTTTTCTCGAGGCCCATTCACGCAGTGCCATATGACCGTGTTACGTTGTGAAGCGAGCACAAGTCATCTACACATCCGTGCTTTGTATACTGTGTGCCAGGGTACTCCTTGCATTGGTTGCCACGTTTCCTACAAAGCGTGGATGCACTAAAAGGCCCGTGGTCGTAAGCCGAAGTAAGTCCTCAGTCAAGCGGTACTGTGGAAATGGGCCTTCGAGGGGTCGTGCAACAATCTTGGCACTTTGCACTAATACCGCCTAGAATTAATCCCCAACACTTGTAACCTATGAAATGTGCGTTAGTTTAGCGGTAGTCTCAGAAAAAATTGAAGCAAAAAGGGCGGCCTTCACCCTCTCAAGTCGCAGCGAGGCCAAGCGGCCACGTGATCTGGAGCTGATTATACGCTGTCAATGTTTATCACAGCCATGCGACGGGGTTGGCAAAGCACAGGACACGCTTCGAGTTGCAGACATTGTTAGGGTTCGGCCATTGTCGTCGTTGCAGTGATTGGACACGAGCCACTACCCGAGTGCTTGTCGAGCTATTGATTATCGCGAGCCAAAATCAAGGGCCCACGCAATCCTTCGGTTCAGTCTACGAGCCGCATTAAAATACCGTCACTCGGTGGACTGTCCCAACACTGCGACCTCTGAGCTACGACGTTGAGTTTCGCGAAGGAGAGATTGAAATGAAACACTCGCTTTTATCCTCGGAATTACCTCGCAACAAAGAAGTTCTTTGGTCAGTGGCATGGTGTGCGAGTTTGCTTGGGTCCCACTAGTGCCAGTAAGGTCGTGTAGAGCGAAATACGTTCCAGCTAAATACCGTTGCACCGCCCCTTCAGTCAATCGAACCGACAAATCTTCGTGTCACTATGTCCCTTGGGTGCAGTGGCTGCTACGGCTATTCCTTTGCTACAAATGAGCGAGTCTTTGTGTAACATTTGCACTTACTGTAAAGGCGGGTTCACTGATTTCCGTTTAAATGTGTGCCATTTTCATTCAGCCACCACTTCAGATGTACGAAACGTGTGCATTCCTCTAAGTCCTACTGCCTCGGGTCGAAGGCCGAAAAGGCACTGTTCCCGTACACTCCTACGTTGTTCTTACTGAGACATGGCTTGACCACGTTCTTGTTTGTTCTTTTGCACCCCACAGGACCTCGAAAACCAGATGGACATTGCGGAAAAACGCCGTTCCATCCTTCTCAAGGACTTTTTGGTCGTCTAGCAGGGGCATTTCTAGTCTTTATTAACGAAAAGAGAAGGGGAAAAAAAGCAATCCCACTAGTTACCGCACTAGGTTGCTCGCGCTACGGGGGGGCCGACAAGGGCCGCGAAAATCGCGAGGCTCGTTGGTCGAGTTGAGGTTTGGTACGACAGCCGCATAAATCTATCTCTCTTCAAGGTCGGCTCTGAAAGTGATTGCAGAGAGAGGGTAATCTTAATTTCATTGCGCGTCGGGTTCGTCGTACAAGAGCGTTCCCAGTCCCAAGTGTCAAGTACAAGTCTGAAGAAGTGACGACAGCAGCCGCCACAGCAAAGTAGCCGACGCTCCGAACGGCGTAGGTTCACCATGCCGATCGTTGGCCAACTTTAAACGCGGATGCGAGTGAAAGGTATCAAAGACGATTCGACCGCGCTCACGCGGCCGCATCTTTTGTCGGACTTGCTTGTGTTTGTCGCCCAACAGTTGGTCCGGTGGAGCTGTTCTCGGCGTCGACCATTTCGCGCTACGTTGTCGAGGCTGACGCAGCTTCCGCACTACTCCAACTCTGCGAAGGCAGGTTGCACAAGCATATGGCAATGAAAAGCGAGACTATGGCGCCTGGAGCGTGTATCCAGCTGACGTGTGTACCGCGTCCTAAAAAGTAGCGATTTCCGCCAGACGACGTCACAAGCGTCGTGTTGTTGCGGGCTGCGATGTCAGCGGCGTCACAGTGGCGTCTCATGGGGCAGATGCCTGTTTTGTTACAGGACGCTCTTCAGCTCGACAGTTTCTGAAAATTTAAGCAGCCAAGGTCGCTACGTGCGACAACATAACACGACCGCTTCCGCAACATTGTTTGTTGCTACTTTGAGACCGCTTTCGGTGTGTGGGCTGCTAAGCACACCGGACGAAGACGCGTTTCGGACACCTTAGCAAGACGAAGCCGTGTGGTCTCGTGGCTGCAGCACTGCAGAAGCTATGCCAGCTTCGACAAAGTAGCGGAAGGTAGTCTACGCCGAGTATACTGCGGGTGATGCGAGCCACCGATGCGAATTTTGGGCGTTGGCGTGTAGCACCGCTTGGAATTTTCACGAGACGGGTGCACAGTCTTTTTGTATTCTAGAACTGATTGCGGAGGTGTGATTGTCTGCCACGCTGTCGTTTTTTTCCCATGTTGAAGTGTTGCGAATTGAGGAAGAAAATCTAAACGGACGTGTCAAAAATGTTGCGGGGTGGGGCAAGGGCGTTTTCTCCTCACGACGAAATAATGAAAGAAAAAATGTCTGGAGATCTCGTATCGTGTTTTTGTACAGTTCTGCGTACTAGGTGATTACACTGAAATAAAGTGGCTCTTGTACAGAACTATACGTCCTTTTAAGTGTGAATCTATTGCATCACGACACTGACAAGGCGTTTTTGCTTGCTGGGATTTCAACTGACACGATGTATGAGGGCCCAATTGTCTAGAAAACGGTATTTCTCGCCCAACATCTTGTTTTTTCGTGAACGCCGTCAATCGAAAATTAGATGGTGAAGTCTGTTCTACTCGTTTATGGATTTTCATAGTTGTGTAAACCGTCCAAGGCCCATAGTATTCAAAAAGTTCAAGACACGAATTCCATTAAATATAATTTTTGTGACCACTGAACAGGCCCATAGCTAGGAAAGGGTCTAAAGCCTGCCTCCCCCCCCCCCCCCCCTAAAAAAAAAAAAAAGGGAGGAGAGGTGTTTTGGTTGTTTTTTGTTTTGTTTTTTTCAGCCTGGCTTTGCAGGTGTCAAGGGGAACGCTCATGTTCTTCATTATTACACATGGCACCATCCTGAATATTTCATTTTGGCACAAGGCTTCGACCCCCCCCCCCCCCCCCCCCCCAAAAAAAAAAAAAACCATCCTGGTTATGGACCTGCCACTAAAATGCCAAAAACAAAGATTACAAGAATGGTATGATTCCCATACTTTACAATGTCGCACTGCCCCATGCTGGCTTCAATTCGTTTGCTCTTTCTCTTCGGCAAATATGAGGAATAACCTTAAAACAGTATTCAACGTATTTTTTTTTTTCAGTGTTTTTACCACAAGCACTTCAAGTGAAAAAAATACCCCAGAACCTCTGTCAAAGATGTTTAGATTTAAAAGCGTACTCGCATGCAATGCCACTGAGCAAAAAGCTTTCAAACAGTAGGTCTGTTCGATTGGCCTGAACTAGTTCAGCAGTGCAGGAACTGGTATTCGATTCAACCGGAAGTTGCACGGCCGCTGCACTGGCGCGTTTGATTCATCCCAGTTCTGAACAAGTTCAGACCCAGTTCCTCAAAATCTTGCACCGGCTCCGGAGTCAGTTCAGCATCCGTGCAGAAGCAGACGATGAGCAGACGGCGATAGCAGACGAAACTCTTCGTCCGTCTCTGCTCGCGGTGCCATTTTTCGCAGCTCTTACTCAAATGCCTGCAATGCTTAATAATAACACTTATACGGAGGTTGCATTTCCTCTCATTTATGATAATAACGTACCCGCGGTGGACGAGGAATCGAGATCATAACCGAGGGTAGGAATTCGCTTGATTATGATATTCTGAAAGCATTTTAGGCACCTGCTTGCGTAGGTTTGGCTCCCTGTGCTAAGTGTCGAAATATTGGATCACGTAAATTGTTTCTTTTTAATGCTATGTGGGGATCCACAGTGTTGATATTCTTCCTTACAGACACGGAAAAGGTACTGCACTCTTGATATTCCCCGACTTCAGTTGCTCTTGGATGCATACTGACGACTCCGATGCATTGCAGAGGTCTGGGATTTAGTACATTGGCCCTCGCATGCCCCGTAGCCGAGCATAATACTGCATCTGCATGCTAAGTCCCCTGGTATCTGTGGACGCCTACTAACGGGCTGGGAAAAACGCCGAGAATCTGCATTGGCTTGGTAGTTCCACGCAGGCCTTTCTTGAGAATCGGAATAAACGCTTCAGCTTGACACCAAAATTGCGGTCGATAACTGTCTTGGCCAAAACGCTATCGTCAGGCCTTCGTTTTCGAGGTGACTGCGCGCTGCCGCCAGTGACTCCCGACGCGAAATCATCCTGATGCTGTGAAGCTAGCGTCGAAATGCAAAACTAGAGAGACTTTGAATGAATATAAAGGACACTAACGCTTATGGAAACGACAGGAACCGAACGGCCGTTAAAAATGCGGACAGAAACACATTTCGCGCAGAAACCGTTTTTAGTACACTCGAATAAAAAATATTCACAGAAAAGTTTCCATTATTATACTTTAAAACTAAGGAAACACGAATGGTCTAATCAAACCGTGACTAATTGTTGCATACAACGTGGCGTGGAGAAACAAGAGCCAACAGATGCAGACGACACTCTGCGCTTCCGCTCGGAAAGCCGATTACAGCGCCAGTCCTAGCGCGGTGGCTGCACTGGTTCTGCGCCGCTGCTGCACTCGTCTGAACTCGGACAGAACTAGTTCAGAACTTTCAGACCGAATCGAACAGACCTAGTGTAATTTTAAAAATAGAAGACTATTTTCTTCAATCTCCTTTGCAAAGGTTGCTACTGTAGTTGTGGGAATTAACGGCTGCCCTAATAGAATGCAGCATTGCTGTCGCAACAAAAAAAAAAAAAAAAAAAAAAAAAAAGCACTTCTCTAAAAGATGTGAAATTTGCAGTGCACACATCTTTTTTCATTTTGGACATCAACCATGCAAATGGCGGGGCTTTCCTTTTTGCCTCCTTGCTATCATTTTATCCCCTTGTTTTCTGGAGACTGAGGACTGACTCCAACGGTGGGGCCCTTGATGACAGCCAGCAGAGCGTGTGAATGGCTGTCTAGACCCAGATGATGAGCCTGCTCCAGTGTACAAGTGCAGACCGGAAACAAAGAAAAAAAAAACTTTTAGCTATATGTCGCGACTTTAGAACGCCCGTCCTGTTCGGACAACCCTTTATGACATTGACGTAGTTGCAGAGATCGGCCCGGAATGGCGACAGTCGAATGTGGCTCGTGGACTAAACTTGAGCACTGTGCAAGCAGACTTGGACTCTGTTACAATTTGGCGGATCTTTGGGTTGTCCTGGCTGGAAGTTGAAGAAAGTGCTACTCATTTTTGTACAGTGCATTTCCGCAACCGCTAACATGCTTCCTGAAGGTTACAAAATATTGAGGATTTATTTCCAAACAGTTTTCAATGAATGTAAAGAAATTGCTCCACCGCCCCTTTAATTAAAACAACGGGGCCCAGCCTTTGTCGCACTTTGAGATCTGTTCTCCAAGTCTGCCTTTGGCTACTGTGTGGAAGCACCTGCAAAGTGCATGAAGGCACAGCCCCCGAGGTAATGGTTCACAAATGGGGGTCCACAGACCATTTGGGCTCCTCAAAGGCCTTCTCCTGGTCCCCGAAGCCCTCGACCAACGGTCAAGTTTAGCAATGAAACGTCCTCCCTTCATTGCTGCTGCCTGCCTCACAAAGCCAAATAGACCTAACCGTGTGTGCCGAGCGAGTAGGGTTGATAATTCCCAGTTTCGGAGCTCGAAGTTGGTTTGTGGGCATTTAGTTCTCTTCACTTGCTCCTCTGTCGTAATCGTCCAAGGGACAAATTGGACAAAAACAGCTATGGTTGACAAACGCTGCCCTAAGGTGTGTGTTCCACTCTAAAAATCTGCACCTGAGAGAGCCAATTGCTGCAATCTAAGGAGGGAGTTCGTCAAATTAAGAGGCTGAAATTAGGTTGACATGGAAAGCTGTCTACGCCGCTGCACTAAGCAGAATGTTTCACTGTGTTCTGTACCACAGCATGGACGTTTTGTTGACACTGAAGACTCTGCAATAAACAAAGCACTCACTGCTAAGATGTTCTGTACCCACTAAAAAGAATGCGGCCTCTTGGGGCACAAGGTTTGTCACTTTTGAACAAACCCTCTCGCGTTCGCAACGCCTGCTCTCACAAACTTTGGTCGACTTGTTTGAGCATTCGTGTGGCACGCAAAAGCGGATTGACAAGATCATTTGCCCATTACAAGCTGCAGTCAAGTGCATACACATTGCAGGGAGATCAGCAGCTTTAAACATAGAAGTGTATGTGATTATTGTCTGTGACCCGGCTGTAGTGGTGGGAGAAACGGCAGTTGTATTATTAGTTATTATTATTGTGCTGTACAGGGGTGCGTGGCTAGCAATGGCCATGGCTACGTCCTTCGTCCGTGCCTCACTGTGGTCCACCCGTCTTCGTCGGGTTCAGGTTTTGCTGGAGGTTCGTTTTGTCCATTGAGCCTCAGGTTACCAAGCTGGGAGCTGACTTGAGTGTTGACGTGTTCCTGCAAAAGAAGACGCCATCCCGAATGCCTCCAAAGCAAAATGGCACCTGTTTCACACATTGAAAATAGGCTCTCCAATGAAAGAACTACTACAATCATGGGGTCTAGCCAATAATCATTTCAGAACTGGCGAGTTCTAGGTTCCACAGCCTAAACTCCAAGTGCACGGCACTTGATAACTAACCAATCACACATGAACTCAAACTAGGATGTACAGGGGGAACAGCGCACCCGGAAAACAGTCACTCGAGTCAACATACACACAAAAGAAAAAGACACTTACGCAGCGCTGACTGAAAACTCTGTGTATTTACATCTACCGAGAGTTGTCAGTCAGCGCTGCGTAAGCGTCTCTTTCTTTTGTGTATATGTTGACTCGAGTGACTGTTTTCCGGGTGCGCTGTTCCCCCTGCACATCATGAGCAACCAACCCGCCCAAACCTCTGTGTTATCAAACTAGGAGTTTGACCTTGATTGGGTAATTCGGGTTCTCCACATCATTGGAAGAGAAATGGTCATGAAATTTGGAGAAAAGGGAAGCTCTCAAGGAAACCAAGAGGCCTACTTTCTCGCACAGCACAGGATGGAAAATTGACAGATTTTCAGCAAAACAAGTGAAAGCTTTCAACTGCGATTCCATTTTCCACAGGTGGCGGATGTGGCAATTGTGAAACGTTAGCTAATTAAGTAAGTGTTGCACAGATGCACTGGAGCTATCGGCCACTCTAAGTAGGCATACTACCCGGAGAAACATTAGCCCAGAAGAATTTAAGATTGCTTACTTGCATTTCTGCCTCGTCATCACTGGAGTAGTCCGTCTGCATTGGAAACGCCACCGTGGGTGTGCGTGGTAGCCTCTGTGTCAGGGACTGGAGGACTTCGTTCTCGCGTCCCTCCTGGCATAACTGGTAGTGCTTGCATAGTACTGCCGATATCTAAAGAAAAAAAAGCCAGGGGGTAGGGGAGATGCTATTTCAGATTCATCTGTAGTATATATGTTGTGGCGTACGACAAGGCGTGTAACGCGCGCGGGCTCGACCACCGAGTCCGGGAGTTTGTGCCCTGCGTGCATGGCTTCATGAAGACGGTCCTCGTAAGTCTTGTTCCAACCTGTGTGGACGTCTCTTTTCTTGCTTGGTGTGTGCACCCGGTCTCGGATTACAAAGATTCCCTCGTTTAACGCGCAGCACCATCTTTCATTATTTGCAGGCATTCCTTAACTCTCCATTTCATAGAGTTGGACTTTCCATACACCTTTTTAGTGGTCATCCATGATCACCACACCGTTGCAGGTGTGTTATCTAATTCGTCATTTTGTAGCGCTTTCATGCACTGTGCACGTTAGATTCCGCAGTAAAGCTCAGCATTTCCAAGCACGATAAGCAAATATGTAATCAGCAACACCTGTAGAAGTGTATGGACACGGGATCTCGGCCTTACCTGGGCCACACTGCCGTCTTCGATGATGGTGTCAAACTCCGTGTCTAGTATGGACGCTAGGACGTATTCTACCTCGTCGGGGTGCAGGTTCGCTGCACACGAAGTAAAACAATTGTGGCAAAATCTAGCAACAACCGGTAACATAGACGGGTACTCTGAACTGACCAATCTCACCGTTTTGGGCGAAGTACTCTTCAATGGCCTGGACTAACCACTTCTCTTTAGCCTTGGCATCGGGTCCACCCATACCATTCTCCATCGCAATCTACAGTATTAATAAGAAAAAGGACACACAAGAGTTGGTACGGAAACTGGAGAGCTGCTAGGAGACATATGACAGTCAATGAATGGGGATGAATGCTAACGTTGAGGTGCATTTAATAGGTGTCCCGTTTCTACGGGTATAGCAGTACCGGATGATAGTAGAGAAATTGACCTACCCCGGTGTTATTTAAAATGTAAACCGCTCACCTGGAATCCTTGCCAGTCGCCGATAAGTGTTTTGATCGACACGTGAAAGGCGCTCTCGGTCGCCATGTTTGCAACTCTTTCGGGGCCGTCTTGGCGATTTTGCCCCTCTGGTGGCTCTAGGCGAAACTGCTTTCGGTTTCGGTTTCGAGCGTCGCCGCGTTGCCTGAAACTGGAAACCGAAGCTTCACGCTGTTCTCAATGTGCGAATTTACGTTTTATTTATTTTTTTTTTTTTATATATATACCTATTCCGTAACACACACCTGCGACATCTTTTATGAAAACTTATTTCAATGTGTTACGCGAGATGTGTCACATATCTCCGGGAAGTGTAGATCCGAACCCTGTTTGTTTTTCCTCAAATAATAAACTAGCCGCCGCCGAACGCTTAGCTAGTGTGTTCGCCAGAATGTTACGCATCCGGTTGTGATCATTATCGCCTCGAAGACAAGGCCTGCTCGTTACGTAATTTTAGTAGCAGAGCGCATTATGTCCTGCTATCCCTTGGCCAATGATCGGCCCTTCCATCGGCAAGCCATGGATCTCGTAAAACACCAGAGAAGGTTATTTTACCTCAAACCCGAGACTGGGACGAGAAGAGACGGACAAACACAAAGTCTCAACTTGATACTTCGTGTTTGTCCATCCCTTCTCGTCCCAGTCTATGGGTTTCAATCAATAATGTTCAACCTTCACCAGCTGGTTTGCGCCCTGAAAAGTTCACTGAAATACGTTCATTTAACTGAAGTATGCTGATATAACTTATACGCAGCGGTCATTCTGCAATTCAATAGCAGAAATTATTTTTAAAATATAAAAACGTCCTGTAACACTTCAGGCGCCGCCCGACGAAAATCAAATAAATATTTTCAATAGAACGAAGAGGGCTACAGCTTGAGTAATATCTGAAGGTTTACATATGAAGTGTCCCTTTACGTAGTATACCCGCACAGCATTGCCAAATTTCTACATTTCACCCTTTGTTTAAGAATAAATGGTTTTAAATCTTAACTCATTCTAACAAAAACAAAAAACAAATATCGTATTTATTTTATTCCGGCTACGCAAGAATTAAATATGGTAACACTCACTGGAAAGGGGTTGATATAAAAGCGAAACTGGGGTTATAGCTAGGTTGGAGAAAAAAAAATCAAGATGATTAACATGATCGTAATTTAAATCGGACCCGTTTTACAAGGATGATTTAAATCAAACCTTTCCCGCAAAAATAATCCTCCAAAATAATATTTTTATTTACCCTTTGTTTATTATTGGATGCATTCCAAATGCGCATATGTTCTGTATATAAATCAACGAATCATCAGATAAGTAACGTCGTATCGCAAGAAAATCAAATTGCGAAAAAAAAAAAAGCCAATACGGTTGTTTTTTTTTGCTAAAAAAAGACAAAGCTGTTTTTGTTCTATAGTCGGTTACAAGTCAAGAAGGTAGGAGAAGCTCCTCCCATAAGCGTGATGCGCCCGTTTCAAATCTATCCGCAGTAAACGCCCCTTGTTCCGCTTCAATGAATAGATAATGGCTACAGAGTGATGCCAACTTGTCTCCGGCCCCCACTTTTGAAGAGAAGGACCTTTGTATTCATCGGAAAGGGAACCGGTCCCCTGAAAGGTGGCCTTTGTATTAATCCGAGGGGGAATCTAATCCCCCAAAGTCGTATTTGTTTTCATCGGAGGGGGAAAATTCTAATCTCCCTCTCGGGGCTTCCACAACGCCAAGTCAAAGTCGAAAGATAAAGCAAATATTTACAGGAAGGCAAGACCCTCCTCCCGCGTTGGCCACGACGTCACGGAAACGATGGGACGCTATTGGATGCGGAGGTGACGGAGGGATACTGTATATGGATCCATTTGAGGGGCATTTGCCGCTACCTTCTTGACCTGTAACTTACTATTTTCATGAAGAATGTTTTTTTTAATTGTGGCATTTTTTTTCTGCAGTGTTTTTACTGATGAGAAGAACTGATAAAACAACCTGCCGTGTTTTAAAATTAGTAGAGTGATACATAATCAATATTTTCTAGCTAGAGTGATATTAGTCTGATTTAAATAAAATAAAACTGACAAAAACAAAACAATTAGTTTTGTTTGTCATGAATGTTTATTATTTTGCCTACAGCAGATCGAAAGGATGTCAAGTTGTACACTGAGTGACACTTTCAATATAAACGATGGAATTTTGTTTTTCTTCTTATATTTCATTGTTTTCTATTAAAACCACTATTGCAGCGGAAATTGCTCACTCGGGGCACAAACTTATGCGATAGAAGTTTGCACTAATCAGCCCCTTCTCTAAGTAAAATGCGAAAAATCGCATTTTACTTAAAGGCGTGTAAAACCACTTTACATAAAACGTTTTGATTCGACGTGAGCTTTTCTCCGGATCTGTCAAAAGACTGGTAAGCTTTTTCCGGACTCGCAAATAAATGGGTGAGCTTTTCTCCGGAGAGCTTATCTCCGGTGAGCTTTTCTCCGGGATTCGGTTTCACAAACATACGCCTAATGGGCTACTCTCATTTCAACTCCAGGATATACTAAGCGACATTAAAGGGACGCTGGCAGCGTATTTATGCTCGCCAAGTATTTCATCTTTACATAACATATGAGAGCCCAACTATTACCACTAAATAAGCTACGTTTCAGAGTAACGACACTTGCCCATATTGTGGCTTAAAAGCATGGTTGCCAGTTATCTGAAGCTTTACCTGATATCACTGGAAACGCTTTTCCGTCCTCCACAAATGTTTAAACAGTTTGCGACAGAGCAAAACAATATTATATGAGCTTCCTGGCACCGAATCTAATGCTGAGGAACTCGCCCTTTTGAATCAGAACAGTCGCCAGTTGCATCTGTTCTGCACAAGCACCAAAATGGCGGCGCCCAAAACAATGTCGGGAAACAGAGTGCCGATACACTAAGCGCTGCTCATTTAGTTGCACTAAGCCCAAATACCCAGAACCTAACTTGCGGCTCGAAATTTGTTTTCTTTCCGCCCGAAAACCACCGATCGAGAACTGGCCAGTTCGAGTCGCGCTCCCTCTCTCCTTCGTGGTCACGTGCCGTTTCCTATGGTTTAGGCACCACCACCACGGATAATCGGAGTCGTGGGATATCGAAGGCACACACTCATTGCTAGAAATAAACTGAGGTAATAAACCCATTTTCGTGGGTTCTAAAAAACTGCATTTACCTTGGTTGAAAAAAAAAGTTATAAAGCCACGTGACTTTTGGTATCTTTCTTCCTCCCCAGTCCAGTTTCGGTTTCAAGCAGTTAGTTTTTTTTTTTTTTTTTTTACTTTATTAAAAATATACGTGACACTGTGGAAAAGTATTCAATGGGTAGTCTCGTGACACCCATATTGAATTGCCTAACAAAAATAATAAAAAAATACTCTCTTTTTATTTTCGGAGGGGGGGGGGGGGGGGGGGGGGGCAGTGTCACTTTAAACTTTCAAGCCTGTGAGTTTCTTATCGAAATTCATCGGCTTTCAATGACATCGCAGCGAGACGGTAGTTTGCAGCTGGCAGCGTTGTAGCTGACAGATGTACTGGAGATCACATGTGGAGCGAAGCGGATGTCAGCTTAATTATGTTGCTTTATAAATTATAAATGAGGTGGCACAAACGTATGTACATGCACTTTTTTTGCCCAGACTGTCAAGTTGAAATACGTGCATGCTTAACGGTGATCAGTGGCCGAGTATGTTAAAGCACCGTATATAGCTCGGCACGTAGAGCGAAGATGCGCGCTGCAGAACCCTGGGATCCTGCATGGGCTCAATCCCAAACCCCACCCGTTTCAATCTGGATGAGCATCGTTACCGGCGTGCGGTCGTGTATCGCTACTGCGTGGGGCACGTTAGAGACCCCAAACTGACGGTGGTACTGCACTGGCTCAACTGCTAATCTAGCCGAAACACCGGACTCCCCATTGGGGCTCACTATACTTCCCGCTGTCTAAGGAAACACACAACAGAATTACTAGCTTAGTCTTGCCGTGCACATGTCGCCTAACTCAGACACTTAAAGCCATTGTCGGTGACACGTTAAGAACACACTATACTCGGTTCACCCTTGAGCTGAGACTGCAGACAATGCCGCAAACACGAGAGCTCGAGGTCGCTGCTTTGAAGCGTTCCTCCAAATAACCAGCACTCGCGCTAGAAACGCATCTCTCAAAGCCAGGAGCGCGGGCTAGCTCGCGCCTATAGCTTTACAGATGCTCAGTTTTAAACTCGACCATTCTTTTTTTTAACCTTTGAAAGCACTGTGACCAATTATCGTTATTTTACGACCAGAAATAAAAGGAGGCGGCCCGCACGGCTGTGCAGAGCGGCGCGCATGAAAACAAATCGTCGAGGCGTTTTTCGTGGCCTCGGGGATGCGGGAGGTAGCCGACGTTCAGAAAGGTATATGTTTGAACCGGAAGAGCGTCAGGAAGAGCCACGTAGATACGCCTTCACACTGGGAGCGGAACTGCGCTACACAGCACTGTTGGACTGCGTCTTGGTAACCGCTTCGAGAAGGACATTTTACAACCGATTATATGAACGGCTCGGTCATTAGACAATCGCAACTCGATGCTGACGTGGCGCTCGACGAAGGAAGATTAAACCTGCGTTGAGTAACCCCCAAAACTGCATTAACTCGACCTGTTAGCATACCATCATGTCAAAAGAAAAGGGACATGCTAAAAAAAAAAGTGTACGTACCTGCGAAGGCAGTCCATATGACGTATATTTGAGCTCTATAACACACAAAAAGGGAGATAGAATCGATGACTGTGTCCCTTTTCGACGAGTCTGTTCACCACCACTGCATCTAAAAACAAAAAGGTGACGAGGGGAAGAGACTGGCCTTCTTACACGAAAATAGAGGTCAGGGTTCAAACTATTCATACGGGAAGGGTCCACATAGACATATTCCATTCAGTAAGCCAGTCGGTCGATATTGGTCTGAGCCGTCGGACCAACGCTGCGTCGCAGTGCCTTGCTAGGCCTATCGTTCAGTTTTAAATATATCTTTCTTTTCTTTTGCTGCTTGACGTTTGGAAGCGCGCGCGGACGTCAAGCAACAAGAAAGTGGCTGTCGTAAGATTCCATCGCAACTTCCGAAAAACTTACGATAATTTATCTTCGTGGATACGTATTTGTTTCAGGTTATTCGGACCGCTCTCGTCACGCTGGTCGGCCATAGCACGCACGAGGCAGCTCCGTCGGCTCCGCAAGCACCCAGTGATGTACTACAGCTCCCCTGCATGACACGATGACGTCAAGGGTGCGACGGATCTCCCGAGATGAATCGCGCTCTTCAATGGCTGATTTTGAAACGCTCTCCAAACCACTGTAGCCGGAATTTAAAACAAAAAATATAGCCATCCTCTCAGGTTTAGCATATCCTTTTCGACTTATTTCTTAATGATTTCTGTATATTTTAAGTTTCGGTTCAGTATCCCTTGAAGCCTAACATGCTTTTTTAACGTAACATTTCAAAAGTTTGTTCGCCAGTCCTTGCATTCCCCGCTAAATTTGTCGAGAAATCGACTCCACGTGACCTGACGTCACGTGACCTATACGCCGATGTAGTTTCCTTACTAGATTTAGCGGAAAAGTTGATCTCATGCCGTCTCGCGTCACGAGACATGAGAATTAAACAAGACCGCGTAGGCAATATCTTGCGACAATATTCCCCAGAGCTGAGCTGCCACCATAGTGAATGCAACTTCAGCCTCTAGAATAATGTCTCACCCTTTAAATACCTTGGCGTTCATCTCTCATCGGACTTAACGTGGAACCTTCTCATTGAACACACTGCTAACAAGGCGTCGCGAGCTCCTGGCTTTCTCAAGCGAACACTGTTCTAAGCAAACTCGTATACAAAGCTTCTTGCCTACCACTGCCCTTGTCAGATCTCAACTTGAGTATGCATCAATCATCTGGCACCCTCATCAAACATATCTGGCAGATAAGGTTGAATCCATTCAAAACAAAGCTGCTAGATTAATGGCTTGCGACTACTGCCGATTCACAAGTGTAAGCACTTAAAAACTTCGACTTAACTTGTCATTTCTTCATACAAGAAGGCACATTGCACGCGTATCGTTTATTCATAGACTTTATGACAGTCCTTCCCGCTTAGATCACCCTTTCAAAATTAACCGCATATTTGCACGAACCAACGTGTTTAAAAAACTTTAGACTACTCCTCGCTATATCGGACTGGAACAGCCCCCATGCAGAGAAATTGCCTCCATCAGTGACCATTTGTCTCCGCTCTAGACGTGGTAAACCTTGAATAGACATGTATCCATGCAATATTTGTTGTTGTCAGTGTCTTGTTTTTGGTGTACATGTTTTATTGTGCGCCATATTTTTTTTATATGTCATGTTTGTAGGCGGAAATTGCGCCAAATATGCTTTGTACTTTCAATTTATGAGTTTTACTTTTTTTGATATCTTTGACTCTTTTTTTTTGCCACTTGGTTCAGTTGTACGAATCTTAGTATCACGTTCCCCTTATGTAATGCCCAAAAAGGCCTTTAAGGCTAAAATAAATAAATAAATAATATTTTTTCCTGTCACAGTATCGTTGTTGTATGGTAGTCCTTAATTTCCCCATATCTGCTCAAAGCACGGGTAGACCTTTATAATAATGGTCATGCAACTCTAAGAAGTCCAGCGCGTCTACTTCCCGCAGAGCACTTTAGAACGCCAGTCCCTGCAATTTACGGAGATAGCCCGGTGAATGCCGTGGCTGAAAATGTTTTACTTAAAATGAAGTCTGCTACGAGATGTTTCACGTGCCGGAGACGTTCGTAGATCTCTTCCATTAGTAACAATCGTAAAAACCGCTGCCAATATGCAGTTAGTATATTTGTGGCCGACGTGTCAGAATAAAGGACCGCCATCCATGTTGCGTGCTCAGCTTCCTCCTCCTTTATTCCCCAGTCGGAAGGGTTATACAACACTCACAATGTATAGCGCGTCTATTAGGAATCGCAACAGCGAAGACATACGATAGGAGAGTGCAAATTGCGAAGACACGTGCTTTAAGCACACAGGCAGACAAACAGCACACTGTAGAATCTATCTTTTCTTTTTAGTTCAATATTTTCTAACGTTTGGGTGAGTGAATTTAGCAGCGCTACAAACGTATATTTACAGCAGACTGAAATGAATGCGCGGTCATCAATCTCAGGGAAACCAACAGTACCTTCAGGACCTTGCACTTCTAAAGAAAAAAACAACTGTTATAGATAGCGCAAAGAGTAACCCGCCAGCATAATATATAATATAGTTCGTTTCACTTTAAGTCTGACCTAAGCCCCGATGCTATATGCTCCGATGCAGCCAATCAAGTTGCGCCAAAAGTTCATCGCCTGAACACTCGTCGTCTTTACGCTTTCGCTGTCACCGACGAAACCAGTCACGCACTGATGAAGGCGAGCGGGTTGAACATGAATACATAAAATTGAAAGAATAAAATACAGAGGACAACCACTTTCTATGAAAGAAATTGGTTGTCCTGTGCTTGTCCTCTGTGTTTTATTCTTTCAGTTTTATGCAGTCACGCACACTGCGCCTTTCTATACGTGCGTGATAAGCTTTGCTGGTAAGAGAAAACCCACAAAGACGGTAGGACCGCGGCCTTAAAGCAACACGCACAGCTCAAGTAGCCACACAATCGCCGTAGCGCTCAGAATCATCGCGTAGAAGCGAAAGAAGCCCCAAAGTTCCAGCTGGACAGTCGGAGGAGCGGGTGTCTGCTCCGCTTGGTATTCGCACTTGAAGCGTGAACGGTTGTGCAACAGGGACGACTCGTGGAGACGCTGCAGAAACGTCCCGTAGGCACTCTTCAGACGTGAGTTCTTTCCAACCAGAGTCGTCATCATGTGATGATTATAATGTTCTTTGAACATCCTGACGTCCCGGCTTACAGGCTTGATGACGCAGGGTTCCACCTGGTCCGCGAAACAGACACGGTCGTTTCTTCTTGCGCAGAGGACACAGTCTGCAAAGGTGCGCGTCACGAGATTGTCTTCCTGGTGTCGTGAGAAGGATTCCATCAACTTTAGCATCAGTCGGGGAAACTTTGGGTTCAGTCGGAGCTCATTCATGGTATCGGATTTTGTGGCCGTCCTTTGCAGGATGTAGTGAACCAGAGTCTGGTCAACAACGCAGGGAGCCACGGAATCGCTTTCCAAGGCCTCTTGTAGTTCTTCTAATGTGTCCAAGACGTTTTCTGGGACGTTAGTAGTGAACCATGACGTGAGCTGCCCTTGGAAGTAAGTAGACAATGGCAGGATGCTGAAAAGCCACACAGCAAATAGACTTCTTCGTATACCCTTCCATCGGGTCGTGTTAGGGATCACAGAAGACGCTGCACAGAAAATTCCTAGCAGAAAGAATGCTGCCCTGGAAACGGTGCGGAAAGCACGAAACTGCACGTAGTCAATCAAGCAAAGAATCAGCAAATAAAGGCAGAGTGATAGGATGAATAGAATGATAGTTACTGAGGAATTTGCGAAAATATCGCCGGGTGTTAAGACGCGAGTGGCATTTGCCTTGGCGTAAAACGTTGGATAGTCGTACAACAAAATATTTGGAAAATCGAAATAGGCGAGAAAGACGTGGGCACAAAATAGTTTGTGAATGAATACGTCAATCGAACCCTCGGCCAATCCTTCGCTGATCAATTGGATAAAGTTGGTATGGCGGTGAAAATGAAGAGTGGCGTTTGTCGCGCGGAGCAGACTCAGGACATGCATTAATAGAAGGGAGTCGTTGAATGTGCCGAAATATTTGTTGTTGATGAAGCCGATACGAACATGTTGACCCGATAGGCTCCGAAGTTTGTTTCGATTTTCAAGGAACTGAGGTGTAGGCCCATTCTTCCTGCGGATCGAAGATTCACGAAGTGTTTCGCTTGGGGTTCCAACGGATTGAGTTGCGCGAAGAAGCGAAGTTTCTGGCGTACGAAACGCAAATGAATTTCGAATTGTTTCGTTCTCTGTTTCATTGTACGAGCTGGGTTCGATACCTTCTTCGAGCGATAAGAAGATCCACTTCACCATGTACCTGTAAACGTAGCTCCGCTGCATTTGTTCCAAACATACGGCTGTGCTGTTTCGTGGGCTGGGCACTAGGACCGTTGTGTGGAAGCTGTACATTGTGTTTGAGACCAACAAGCCGCGCAGGCCTGGCTCGTCGTAAAGCCACTTGGACGCTTTCACCGGCAACTGTTTCATCCAGAACAAGTCAACGTCGTCCCAGAAACCCTTGCAAGAAACGAGCACAACATGGGCATTTTCCGATTGGATCTGAGAACGAAGTACAGTCTCGAGTTGCGAGGGGTGAAGTTCAACGACGTGTTGCATCAAGGAGAACGAGACGCCAGCACTCACCAACAATAGAAGGGCTACGTTTGAGCAGAGCATGGTCACTCAGGAAGGTGGTTAGTTTGTGGTCGCGAAGAGATCGGCTGCAGTGGCAACTTCTGTGGTAAGGTGCAGAGTAGCTACGGTTCTTGTCGTCAACTGCTGTTCGCACAATATCCAATTTACCTAAGCAATCTTCGAGAGTACAAGCAGGCGTACGCGGCACGCAGGCACCAAACAGAGAGCCTAGATTTGAGGGATGGAGTAAATTTATCCATGGAGCACTTTTGCATTTTAATGGCGAATGCCTCGTGCACAAAGTGGTCGAAAGAGCGCATGCTTTGCATTGTCGCGGGGAGAGAAGGAAAGCGCGGTCAGACGATAGACGCTTCTGAATCGTCCTCGCAGCAAACGTGACCGACAAACCACCCGACCCTGATTGAACAGTTGGAAACACTCTGTAATCAATTCGCACTAGCGCCAAATGGTTGTTCTGCTTATTTTTAATTGGAACGCACAGAGGTGTTCTTTGAATCGTATGCGTGTATGCATGCACTTTGAATGTTGTTCTTTGATCGCACCGCACTTGCGCAAAATTCACTTCGAAGAGCACACTGCGGGTCTCGGCTTCGTTTTAACTTACAATACACTTTGTCGAACGCTACGAGCTGTGTAAGCAAATCCAGCGCTTCCCGTGCACCACGTGACTTCATTTTTCGCGCATGACTACGCAAAACCGGGAGGTCACGTGACCTGCTCCGCGCAGTGAATTGGCTCTAGTAGGTCGCAACGTTCGATGCAGTACATCAGAAGTCGAAACAGAAGACGAACGTCATTGACGAATGTAGTATGCATCAGGCAGTAAGGAACGCGATGAGCGTCATCTATAATTCACGCTGCTCTCATTGGCATGAGAAATAAGAGAACCGCGGCGCTTCGTGACTGCAAGTCACGCCAGTGTACAACAGTTCAACCAGCACTATGTGGCACTGCCGGAACACTTAACATTGTATGAGGAGACAGGCAGCACGATTAGTCGATATCCCATTTTGGTAATACTGCCTGCACTGAGATTACATTCTGCACTTTTTACATTGGAGAAGGACTCCGCTAAGTAAAAAGAGAAAGCGATGTAAAATGGTTTCGAAATGCGTATGCTAAAAAAGAACCACAAATTATTTTCACACTTCTAAATAGCTTTTCTTTGTTTAGACTTTCTTTATTGTCTGAAAAAAAAAACATATTTGATAAAAAAATAAAAACAGTAAAGATCCAATTTTTCCGTTGCAATAACATGCGACAGATTGGCATTATAATTATAAATATAAACCAAATAAAAGCAAAGTTTACCTTGATCGTTCTGATAAACCCGGAAAGCACGGAATTTGTCGTGCGTGTATTGCGCGCGCGTTATGATTTGATATGCTTGGTTCCGGGGAGCCTTGGATGGCTTCGAATGAGCCGCACGCACGACACCCCTGAAATATCCGAATTCATCGGATGAGCGAGTGGTGTTTATATTTCTCGGGGAGTAGAGTGTGACACGAGCACGTCTTAACGAGAGGTTTCCCACGCGGGTTCTGCATCTTTGGCGGGTGCTTGTCTGGTTCTGAATTCTCAGTGCTCTTGGGGACAAGGGTTCTCGCGCCCTTTACTTCTCAAATTGCCTTTTGCCCGGAGTTCTGACGTCGCACGCCCGCTCCGCTATCCCCCGCTACGTCATCGCTCACCCGCGGATGTTCCGAGCTCGCGATGGCGAGATATACGCTTTGTCGGGAACGAGCTGCGCGCGCCGACGGTCACCTGCGGACTGAGTATGCATGCCATGGACTACGTATCACTCGCCGCCGACAGCCGCCTGCAGTCTATAGACAAGCGCAGTGTTTCCAAACAAGCCCGCTTTGCCCATAGCTACCGGGTGTGGGCACTGCGCCGCGTGTAACCCGAGCAGAATGGCTGAGCGTCCAAATTCATCCTCAGCCATGGTTAAGATTAAAGCGCTCGAGGAACGAGGACAACAGAGAAGAAACACACCACAGACTAACGCTTACTCGTTACTGATCGATTCATTGTGGCCTAGTAGACAAATAAAATACAGAAAAAGAACACTCCTCCAGATCGCCTGCGCGCAACCGACTTCGATAAGAAAAAAAAAAAAAAAAGACATCTCGAAAACACGTTTGTCAACAACACACATCTAAACCACGCGGGACATGGCAGATTCAATAAAAAAAATCTGTCTCATTCAGAGCAATAGACGGATGGCTAATGCAGTTCTCTCCCCTTGTTTCAATTTCAAGAGCCTCCAAAACTTCCCTGGCCCTTCTGCTCTTTAAACGCACCCGAAATCTCGGAGCAATCAAGCAGAGTAGAGCAGTCGCACCTGCTGCAATGAGTTGCCAGGGGGCCCGAAGGTGTTGAGCGTAAGGATGCGCTGTGCTCTGCTCACGAAGTCTGTGATTGACACATCTTCCGGTCTGCCTCCCGTACACCTTTCCGCAACACAGTGGGATACAGTAAACGAATCCTGCTCGACTACTGATTTACCGGTTCACGTGCTTGGTTACACAGGAAAATTTTCTTTTTTCTTTCGCTACACGGACCCTCTTACATAACTGCATCAATTTGTTGGGCGCCTTAAAAGCCACTGGTACGTTATACCGCTTTTGCACGTTTTTTATTCTGTGCGAAATCCCATGAAGATAAGGCATGACAACCGGTCTGAGTGGTCTCTTTCGTGCCACCTGACCTGACGTTACCCCCTCCCCTGCAGCACGACTCTCAAAACCTCTTTGAGCACCCTTGAGGGAAAACCTGCGTCTTATAATTTTTTATCTTCGTTAAAACTTTCCTTCACTGCATGAAGGCAAGACTTGCTGAGAGCCGATCCAACACTGGACCTCCCTCACTATTCCTCTCTTCACCAACTTCAAGTGGGCTGAGTCGTACGGAAGTAGGCCCTTCAAAGATCGCGGGCTGAAAGACTGCAGCGTATATACATGGTCTCTTTTCAATCGGAGGGACAAGTATAAAAATTGTGTGCAACCCACAGATGGTACCTTAAATATAAACTTCAATTCCTTTCCCAGTGTGCTTAAAACGGACAATACCGGATCGATAACATCCGCCCCCGCATCTTTGTCCGCAAATATATATATATACATATATATAAAAGAGATCGTCCACATATCTAAAAGCTTTGTGTACTAGATGTAAGACTTTTGTCTATTCGAGGGAAACGTCGAACTGGCCGATGAAAATATCGTTTAAAAGGAACCAACGCAAATGTCGTTATTTTGAACGAAGAGCCTTCACACTGCAACGTCATAGACTTCAGATAATAACCAAGTAATTAGGAAATACCTTTTGAAGTAACTTCAGCAAAGTTCCGGGACTTGACTTCACCAGTCGAGTCGATGTAGTCCCTGACAGTTACTAAAAGGGTCCCTTGAGGAGTTGAATGAAAAAATCCTCAACGTCGACCGAGAACACTTGTCAAGAACCTATGTTTTCATCACTTAAAAAACTTACAACCGTTTCCGAGCTCCGTATCACAGAAGGGTCGGAAACAGCCCGCATGAACAGATGCTTCTGTAGAAAACTCGCCACCTCCCTTTGCCGCGAGCCCCGTTCCGTGACTTCATGACCCTGAACGGGCAGCGGGGTTTCTGTGTCTCCGCCGTAAGGAAAGCGTCGAGACCAAACCCTCGCTCCGACTGACCCTTAAAAAAAATGGTTTGCTCTCTCAACGGGTAATCGGTCTCTTAGCTGTAGATGAGAAATTTAGCCAGTGCAGTACAACCGCTAACCTGGGGTTTTTAACGTGCATCACGCATTGGTGATCACACGAACGCGTGCCAGTACGAAACTCATCCAGATCGAAACGGGCGGGGGCGGCGTGGATCGAACCCAGGAGGTTCCCAGCGCAAGTTTTCGCTCCACGCTCCGAGCTGAGACGCGTTGGCCCACTCGGCCACTTCCTCCCCTCCGACTGACCCTTGTAGCCAAGTTTGTTACTTATACTCTTCACCTTACTCCCTTCGCCTCTTTGAAATCTTTTTTGAATGCCAGCCCGCCTTTTCTTCGAACATCAACCTCGGGAGCACAACAAAAGAGCCATCTTTGTCCGAGACAAGTACGCTTGCATCCGTGGTCGCCAAAGAGTCGATCACCGATGGCAGGCTGCCCCTTCACTGACACATCTATCAGACTCATTCTCACCCACGATATGCCCCATTTCTAACTAACGACAACAACAGTGGAGGCTTCATAACAGGTTCGAAGGCAAACTTGGGTCTTTTCCCCAGCATTTTTATTTCATTTCATTTAATTTCATTTACTATACTCTCAGGGCCCGAAGGCCCTGAGAGTAGGGTAGTGGAGAGGAGTGGGGTAATTATATATTAATGCAAATTAACAACAAAAACAAACGCAAAAAATACGGTACAGCATTGCTATGCAACATTATTCAGAACGGTTTTAAGATCTGCAGTGCAAGTGAGACTACGGACGTGAGTGGGCGATTCCGGTCGACAGAGGTCAAGGGTAGGAAGGAAACATAAAAGGTAGAGTTCATGCAGTAGGGGATTCCTACTTTTAGTGGATGATAGGCACGCGGCGATGTGTATGATGTTTCTGAAAATAACGAGGTTCAAAGTGCTTGGTAAGAATGATCACTCTTGTGAGTTACGGAGAGGCGAGATATTTTGCCACGAAAGGAGTGGTTGAACAAATGTAGATATGCTTTCATGGAGGTGACGCTGCAGCTGTACGGTGATAGTTAGAATGTATAAAAAGTGCGGAGAGATTTTGAATGGGTTCAATGAATGATGCAAGGGTGACGCCAGGATTGCATATAGAGCTTGCATATTCGAGTTTGGCGCGAACTAAAGTTTTATATAGGAGAATTTTAAGTGAAACAGGGGGCAAAGGGAAAATTCCTTTGGAGATAGCATAATAAGCGGTTAGCGTTGTTAGTGATATATTCGACATAGTTGTTCCAGGAGAGATCGTTAGTTATATAAACACCGAGATATTTATAGGTTGACACAGAAAGCAGGTGGAGTTATTAATGCAGGAGAAGGAACAAGTGTTATTTTGACGGGACACTCTCATGGATCTAAATTTATAGGTGTTAAGTTTCATAAGCCAAATATCGCACCAGCGGGTGACGTTAATATCGGTCTCAAGAGCAGATGTTTCAGAGTAGTTAATGATTTCCTTCTAATTACAGTCATCAGCGAATAGGCTAATAGACGAGGATACGTGCGTGGGAAGATCGTTAATATTTATAAGGAATAAAAGT